GCGGTGGTTTTAAGACAGGTGGCAAGTGGCCATACAATTTATTAACCCGTACATATTTAATCTCCATATGCAAATTCGCTTATGCGGGCACAATTTTCCGTACCATAAACTTTGGTATTACCCACATGTACATTTTCCGGTGTTCATATTCGAGATTTTGCAATCCGCAGAATGAAGAGGCGGTCGTCAATCCGTGACGCAGTGACCTTTGCCAGTGCTTGTCAAACTATCCGCTGCATGATGGATTGGTGTGAGCGCAAATGAATGGCACATTAATTTGCATTTAAATGTGCCAAAAATATTTCTCGCCATTTTTAGCATGTCATTGACTAATGAGCGAGCCGCCGAAAATATTGTAAATTGCGAACAGCAAAAAAGAAAACGTTTTTGCAACTGCAGGAAACATAAATAACAAGTCCCAGTCAAAATAGATTGCAATAGTGGCTTGCTAAAGGCACGGCAGCGGCAAATGTGGATATGAAAATATGAAAAACATTTTGCAAATGTCACACTCGCATGGCTATGAAAACCGATCTGCACACAAATTTCAAGACACACCTCATCAAGCACCAATTCTTTCTAATATAGTTTATTGTTTGAGTCAAGCGTTGGTGTTTTGGTTATTTTTAAAGATAACAAAATTTATTAGCTAACGTGATAAATTATATGTAAACTGTTCTTGTGGAAAAACTGGATTCAAAGTTTTCTTTGGCTTTTTGAAAGAAAATTTATAGAGTATACCAAAAGCGGTTTTGTCACCGTTTCCTTTTTTTTTTTTTTTGCTAAAAGCTTTGTGCGTGCCAATTTATGCACATTAGTTTTTGACTTAAAAATTCAAATCTGCTTTCGGCACATCATTTGAAGACTCGACGGTTCGAAATGCTAGCAAATTAAAAATATTTGCGCAAACATTTTGGGATCGTGTGCCTCAAGTGATTTTGTTTATTTTTGTTCGCTTTATTGCTCCGTGTGTCGGTAGTATCTTAAGATCGTTTGTTGCCATTTTTCTTGCCTACACAATTGTTTATATGGCAAAGATAAAAGCACATTCAATATGAGGTAATGCGAAGTTTTACACTCTAATATTGCTTATAGATCTTTTTATCTTCATCATATTAATATTGTAGTTTTCCATGATTTATAACCATCCTTCCGGTACTTTGATTGATTCTAGAGATTTTCTTTTAAGAACAAAAGATATACATTAAGAACAAAATTTCCATCGAATACATCTCGATTAACGAAGCTTCCGCTTCCGTTCATTTGGTTAAACGATTTAATAATAGCACTGCCACAATAATCTGCAACACGATTTTCACATCTGGCCAACTCAATTCGCAATGAAGTCAGCAAAGCCAATGCGGCTTATTTTTTTCTATTTTTTTTTTTTTTGTTGTATAAATTGCATACAAGATCGGTCTTAATGTGGCCACTTTATAGACGCCGCCACTTATCAGGCTCCGTTGATCCAAACACCATCGACCGCAAGACACTCGAAAACCATTTATTATAACAAACAAAATGCTATAATTAATTTTTCTATTATTTTCTCAAATACACCCAGCCATTACCAAAGGGGGCGGTGGTGTAAGTGGGGGCCAGAACGTGGCCATTGAGGAGTCAAATACAATTTCCTGGCCAACTTAATACTCGATTAATTTACGACGGGCACGAAAACAATCGAGGTGGCCATTTTCGGTGGGGAGGCGGCTGGGATTGCGACTATTATGACGTGCCGGGCCGAGTTCGATCAAAGAAAGCATAAATAATGTCCCGACAGCCGGTCGACGGGGCAGAACTGGTTCAGGATTTCATAGTCGAGTCTTCGTCTTCCGCCGGTGGTGGCCCGGGCCAAAAATTTATGCAAACGGGTTAATTAACTAAGGCTAAAAAGAAGGAGGAAAAAATAACGAAATTCGGAACGACTTTTAGCCGGGTGGTCCTCCCCCGTCCCACACTCCATTTCCCCCGCCACTCAGCCAATTACTCTCTCCTTCGCTTTAAATTTGGGTCAACAGTGGGCGGCTAACAAGGCAACAAAAGCCAACTAACTACGTTTGTATCCATCATTTCGGACATTTTAAATGTCAATTTATGTACACATTTATATACGAGTATATGTATAGAAATCGTCGGTAGAGTCAGTTGGTCAGTGAGTCAATCACTCAATTGAATGGAACTCATTCGCTCATTCATTCGTTCATTGATTCATTTATTTATGCAGTCAGTCAGCCAGCGTGTTGCCAGCTGATTTTTATCGCAGTTGCCTACAGACGCTTAATTGCCGCTTGATTATTTGTGGAAATATCGAATTGCAATCGTTATTACATTCGTTTATTGATATTTTTTTGTGAAACTGAGAAGTGTTTGGGTAATTGTATAAAGATATTTTAATGATTATGTTTGAATCAATCAATATGATTTTTAATGCTACTTAGGATCAAAGTATTAGATTAAAATTCGTTAAATTTATTTCTTAAGTGTATTTAATATTTTCTCTTATTTTTACCACTTGTGGTGATTTAAGATTTATGATAACTGATTGACATCCATCGGGGCTTTTTGTTACAATTCTTTGCCAGCAGACATTGCGTATGCGCAGCGTTGTCCGAACCAAAGTCATAAATCATTTAATCAATATTTTGTCGTGTTGCGAGTAACACAAGGTATGTTGCCAACAAAACACGTGCTCCAAATTGAAGCTCAACAAGTGAGCTTAGAGCACTTACATTTTTCTGCAATTCGTCCAGTCTTTTATTTTTTTTTTGGTAGCGCTCAAATGCAAGCGACTTTGCAATTAAACTGTCAATTCATTGGTATTTTCAGAATTATTAGTATGTGATTGTTAATTTATTGCATTGCATTTGATTTGTGACCGCGTTGAATGGCCAGACAACTTGAGTATTGGTAGTCGCATTGTGTATACGCCATGTTGTGCCGTGAAAATGACAAGTTCCAAGGCCACAAAAGAAGTGAGACTAATGGCAGTAGCTTGATTTGATGTTTATACAATTAGATACAGAAATAAAAGAAGGAAATGGGGACGCGATTTATTGTGCTATTCCCAACTGACAAGGCAAACGGCAATCCATCAATCTCAAACTTAACCGCCTATGCAAATGTGAAGTGGAACCCTAAAAATTTTACGCACATTCGAGTCGAGAAACCGTTAAGCGAACGGAAGTACTCTTAAGACGGCCCACACACGAGATTTCTGACCACCGGTCCCGTCTACAGATCGGCACAGTAAACTACAGAGAAACTAAAACAGCGAAACAAACAAAACGTGCTCATTAATAAAAAATCAAAGAAAACAAAATTGTCAATAAAACCAAAGGCCCGGGAGACTAACAACCGACCAGAGAAAACCGACTCAAGACCCACGCAATAAATCTTCAGTGGGTGTGCAAGTGACTCTCAAACTGTACCATGACAAACGCATTTTCAACTAAAGCATCGAAATGATGAAGGAGCAGGCGAAGAGTCGTGATTCCCATTGTAAACTTTAATGACATCATTTGCCGAGGCAAAAACAACTGAATGGCGTCAGTTAATTGAACTTTTTATTGGTGGCTTCGTCTGAAGCTGAAGGAGTCGTAGGCCTTTCGCTCGCCACTCATTTCATTCATGAAAATGCAAATCCCCCGAACTCGCTGGCAAGCACTTGACAGCTAGCTGCACTACAGTCAGTCTCCAATCCTCAAGACTCAGCCATATGCCAAGTGCCTTAAGGCGCAGCTTCCTGCCCTCCGCATCCCCCTAAAATCTTGGGAGCAACTTCGGAGTGGATCTACTATCACCTATCCTATCTTGTCGCGTGCTAAGCTTGTTCATATTTCCATACTTACAATTGGTATACCCTAAGATCTGATCATAGCCTATTTGTTACAGGCTTTGTAGGGACTTAAAATTGTTAAAAATGTAATTTGGACTTACAATTTTATTATAAGTTGTATTTTCTTTAAAAAACTCGACATCAAATCTTTAGTAACCAATTAACTAATTGTAAAGTTTTATGAAATTGGTTTTACAATGCATCAATTTTATAAATACAAGTTTCTATTATTTTAGGATGGGATAGGGTATTATATATTCGCTTTTTCACTATCCCAACTCTCTTCCAATTTTGCATGCACTTTTTGTCTATATTTTAGTTTTGGCTTTTTTTTAGATCGTGCAATCAATTTGAAAAGTGTTTTTTGCGTTGGTTTTACCGGATTTATGAATGAATTTATTTTCGTATGTGCCTGCTGCTTGTCCACATACTCGAGTGCCTGGCAGACTTGTCTGGCTTGTTCCGAGTCCCAAGATCCGAGATCGTCGTCTCCCACAGCTTTTTTCGGGGTCCAACGTCCGCTGAGTCCGTCGTCGCATTTGTCGTTTGTCGCCCGAATAGGAAACCCAATGCAAATGTGGGCGGACTTTGGGGCGCTGCCTACGCGCAACCCACAAACCCACCAACTGGCTAGCGGCTCTGGTGGGTCTAGTTGGTCTAGTGGATCTGGTGGAGGAGCTGGTGGGACTGTGCACCACTTGATGGTTGGCCGCTTAGGTGCAGTTAGCTGGCTGCCACTGACAATGACGTAGTTGTGGCCCAGTAACCCAGGACAGGGAAAGCTCACAGGATGAACATTAATATTTGTTATCTTGCTTCAGCATTGATTTGATGAATACATTTTGATTTGAATAGAATAAATTCTGTTTTTGATAATAACTCAAAAAGAAGGAATTCCAAACGAAACTTTACTCGTGAAAAAAAGTAGATTCTATTTGCGTTACACTGAATCTGATGATAGAATATTTTTTGTCACGAAAAATATTCTTTTGAAAAAGAGTAATTAATATTATTGTGATGCATTGACAAATAAAGATCACTGTGAAATGATCCAGAATAAATTTAGGAAACCATTATACACTATTAAAGACTTCAGTAAAATATTTTATTTAGAATAAGTGAATCTGTTTAAACTAAATACTAACAAGTTTCTCTTTTCTTTCAGAATGTCACTGCAGTAGTGTTGGATCTGTAACCTCCGATTGCGATAAGCGAACTGGACAATGCGCCTGTCTTGCCAATGTCACTGGAAGGAGGTGCGACAAGTGCCGAGCGGGTCACTGGAACCTCACGGCGGGCGAGGGTTGTCGGGACTGTCGCTGCGATCCGCACGGGTCAAGGGGTCACGAGTGCAACCCGTGGACGGGTCAGTGCGACTGCAAGATCGGCGTTGGAGGTCAGCACTGCAACGAGTGCACCGAGGGATTCTACGGCTTCAGCATCGAGGGATGCCAGCGCTGCTCCGCCTGCAGATCCGAGGGTCAAGTCTGCGATCCGCACAATGGTCGCTGCATCTGCCCGAAGTTCACTCGAGGATTGGGCTGTGGACAATGTGTTCCGGGCACTTGGGGATGGCAAGCGCGTTTGGGTTGCCGGGAATGCCAGTGCGATCACATTGGCTCCATTGGCCAGCAGTGCTCCACTTCGGATGGTCAGTGCCAATGCCGCGAAGGATATGCGGGCAGGAATTGCGACTCCTGCGCCATCGGTTACTTTGGCTATCCGGAGTGCAGAAGATGTGGTTGCGATCCCGAGGGTTCCTTCACCCAGTCAGATGGCTCCATTGCCTGCGATTCGAATGGCCAGTGTCCTTGCAAATCCTTGGTAGTGGGTTTGAAATGTGACACCTGCATGCAGAGCACCTTCGGATTATCATCTTTAAACCCCGAAGGTTGCACTCGCTGCTTCTGTTTCGGGAGATCCGGTGAATGTGAGCAGAGTGATCTATCCTGGGGTCACATTCGCATGGCGGAGTCAAGGAATCTTAGCATCCAACAGATAAGACCACTGCATGTTCCCAGTTCGGATTACGAGTACATTGTGGTGGTTCAAATGGAGGGCAGTAGTTTCCATCGCGAAGATGCGGAAATCCAGCGCATGAACGATCTGAGTTTGGTGCCCAAATCCACGGGAAATGTATCCATTGGAGCCTATGGACAGTTTTACCATCCGCTGTACTTCCAACTGCCACCTCAGTTTTACGGAGATCGAACTAGCAGTTATGGTGGCTTTCTCTACTTCACTCTGATCACCGAGGGTGCCCACAAACCCTTGGAGCGAAATGTTTTGGGCCAGTATCCCCTGGTGCAGTTGCATGCCCACTCCAAATTGTTGCTGGATTTCTATGAGTACGAGGAGTTTGAATACTCCCTGAATGTTACCCATCGTGTGCCGTTGCATGAGTCCTTTTGGAAGTATCATCACACCAGTCAGGCTGTAGATCGAAATACTCTAATGGCTGCTCTTCAAAATATTCGACACATCTTTATCCGTGCTTTTGCCTTCGCCGATTTCCAGGAAGTTGTGTAAGTATAATCTTCAAACTGAATTACATTTAAGGCTACCCCTCTTTGTATTACTTTAATTGTATGCTGTTTATTGTCTAGTATAATCAATTTTAATTCTCGTTTTCAGTCTGCAAAATGTTCACATGGATGCAGCAATCTATATTCAGGGCTCCACCAATATGATAGCCAAAGGTGTTGAACGTTGTAGATGCCCTAAACGATTTTCTGGGCTTTCATGTCAGGATCCTGGCAGATCCTTCTACCGTTGGCGCAACACCACTGTTGTGGAGAGTGTTTTCATTGAGGATCTGATAGGAAGATCAGCTCCTTGTCATTGCAATGGTCGAAGCAGCGATTGCGATCGGGAAACTGGAGTTTGTCAGGTAAATAAAACTTACTTATTATTATAAATTAAATTGAAATTGAAATTAAATCCTTTTTTTTACAGAACTGTCGAGGTAACAGCGGTGGTGATCACTGTCATCAATGTGCAGAGGGTTTCTACGGGGATCCCAACTCCCCTCATGGTTGTCAAGCTTGTCCTTGTCCGGAAACCAATAGGAACTTTGCCCGAGGCTGTAATGTTTGGGATGGAGAAGTCAGTTGTGCCTGCAAGCCGGGTTACACGGGAAGATTGTGTGAACGCTGCCAACCAGGATATTTTGGAGATCCCATGAAGTATCCAAATACCACTTGCCAACCATGCAATTGCCATCCGGATGGAATTCGAACGGAGGGTTGCGATATAGAGACTGGAAGATGTTATTGCAGGGAGGGAGTCACAGGATTGAAATGCGATAAATGTAAAGCGGACCGTCATCACTTGGTGGATAATGGATGCAGAGGTAAGTTGCTCTGAAATATCTTATATAAAATCCTTTAAATAATCTATAATATGTTTTAGTCTGCGACAATTGCACCCTTTTGCTTCTGGACTACGTGGAATTGGTGGGTCACAAGCTGCGTCGCGGAATGCACAACATGGATTTGACTGGAATTCCTGCACCATATCGCAAATTGTCGGAATATGAAACTGGTTACGATGAGTGGAATGCACGCCACTGGGACTTTAGTGAAACCAAACGACGTCTTCAGAATTATGACTCTGCTGATATCCTGAAACTCGAAGCTCATGCCGAGAATCTAAAGTTTCAAACTCGCAAAGCAGTGGCAACCATTGGAAAACGAGAGTTTGCTATTAAATCCATGAGGGAAGATGCGGTGGTTCAACAACATGATGTTGGCTTGGTTCGAGCGGAGATCTTGCAAACCCTTTCCGATTTAAGGAGCTATGGAAAGAGTCCGCGGCATCTCAGTTTGCCAACTGCCCTTAAACAAGCTCGTTTCTACTTGCAATCCATTATTGAACACGATAGAATGGTTCAGGGAATTCGCAGCACCAACGATTGCGCCTGGCGTCACTTTTATGCCATGGGAAATGCCTCGGATGCAGCTTTCGATGAAAGTGGTCGACTGGAGATGCTCTGGCGTGATCTGAATCAGACGAATCATCGGGTGGTGGACATCCGACTGCAAGTGGATCGAGTTCAGGAAGTGGAAAACGAAGCAGAAGATGTCCTCGAACACGTACGCAACTTGAGTATCCATGTGGGTGAATCTCACCAGGAGTTGAACGATCTAAACCAAAAAATTTCGGAACACCTGGATCCTGGTTACCTAGAACAAGGTGAAGGTTTGGTAAGGCTCACAAACCAGCGGCAACTGTTGCTCAACGGTCACCTCAATCAACTGGATGGCGCAAGAGTACTACTCAATACCACTTTAGAAGTAAAATCTGAGCAGCAAAGGGAAGTTCGAAAGCATTGGCTGCCAAAAGCAGAAAAACATGCAAGTCACCTGCTAGCAAGATCGAATGAATATGCTCGCCAGTTCCAACCCACAAGAAATGGAGCTCGAATTGCCATGTTGGCCAGTTCCGCCCACAGCAATATAACCAAAGCCATCAATGATGCTCGACAAGCTTCGATTTTGGCCAGGGAGCGAGTGTACGAGGCCCAAAGGACACTGTATCCCAGCGATGGCAGCTCTATGATCGATCGAGCCAAGCATTCGTTGCACAGATCAAGGCAACTCCAGCAGGAAGCTCTCAAGCAGATGCACAAATCCAATGTTTTGAAGGAAAAACTATATCAACAGGAGCAGCAAGTGGAGGGCATCAAGGCCACCATTTTTGATTCCGGTCTGCGCACAAACAACATTTCAGGACAAATGCAGGGTCTCTCGGAAGGATCAGCTCGTCGACAGGCGAAGGAGAGTTTGGAATTGGCCGAAAGAACTGGGGAACAAATGCGAGCCGAACTGCGATTGGCTAAGGAAATGCAGGAATCCATTCGGAACATGCGGAATTCCTTCTCCAATTTAGAACCCGACTGGGAAATTAAACTGGGAATGGCTCAGGAAAATATATCTCTTACACAAACCAACTTGCGATTGGCCAATGTTTCTTTGAGTTATTTGGAACAGCAGGCGGAAAAGGAGCAACAGGTATTTGAGGTTTGGAACAACAGCATGGCTCAGCAATTGCAGCAGCTCAGAGATCAGATTGCCAAGGCCAGACATGCAGCAGAATCGGTAATATTTATCTCCACCTATATAGTAAAAAGTAAAGTAAATTATATATTAAATCCTTTTTTTAGATCGATGTCTCCCTGGAATCCCTGGGTCCCAAATGCAGTCGTTCCTATTTACCCGCTTCATATGGTTTAAGCACCTCTAATAAAATCCGAATAAGCTTCGCTTTATCCAATCACCTGGAGAGTTCACCTTTGATCCACTTGGCAAGCAGCGAGGGACGTCACATCACTCTGGAGCTCTACAAACGCCACGTTCGCCTGGTGTGGAATCTTGGAGGCACCACTGCCACCATAACTCATCCCATGGTGGTGCAAACCCGCGATCCCAAGTACGATGATGCCTGGTATCACGTGGAAGCCAATAGAACCCTCAATTTGGGCAGTCTGATGGTGCGTCGGATGAACAACTACGGTGAGCTGACCCCGGCGATTCCAGTCACCATCACTGGATCCACGGATACGGAGCACACTCGCTTCTATCAATCCCGAAACGATCGGATATCTTTGGGAGGTTTTGCTTCAAAGGATTTACAATTCACTCCAGGACTCAATGTGGTGGTGCATCAGGTGGAAGTGGATAATAAGCCACTGGGTCTGTGGAACTTTGTGAAGAGCGAGGGAAGCTGTGGTGGATCCATGGTTGGAGCTAAGGAGTCATCCGCTTCATCTACTGCTCGCCACTTCAATGGATTGGGTTATGCCCAGTTGATGAAAACTAGACCGCGACCCACTCGAAAGAATTTGTTCTCTGTGCAGATGACTTTCCGCACGCTTGATGAAAATGCACTGCTCTTTTTAGCGGTTGATGACAAGAACGTAAGGGAATTTAATTCGTTGTTATATAATATATTTTCTAAGAATTTATTATCCCTATTTTAGAACCGCTCGGTTTCGGTAACTTTGAGCCGCGGTCGCATAATGTTCCGCATTGATTATGGCGACGATTCCAAGCTGGAGATCAACACCACCAAAAAGTACAATGTGGGTCAGTGGATCAAAATCGAGGCGGCGCGGGAGTTCTCTGCCAAGCGAAGTACTGAAAACGGAATGCTTCGAGTAAATAACGATCGACCAATTTCTGGAGCACCCACTTTGCCAGTAAACATTCACCTGCTGCCGGATCTTTCCAAGGCAGTCTACTATTTGGGAGGTGTTCCACCAGGTAAGGATTTAATATTATTTGTACATCCTTGCAGAAGGTATTCTAAGTCCATATCCTTTCTAATTTTGATCAAATTGTAAAGTGACATACCTCAAAATGTTTTTTTCTTTTTTTTTTATTTGTATTTTTTTTTTTTTTTTTTTTGTTATATAATTCTCTAACAAACTCCATCATTAGTTTACTTTTTCATTTTTGATCGATTTTTTTCTATTTTTATGATGCAAACCTTTCGACATTTGCCAAAAATTAGTTTACTAAAAATTTACCAAAATTACCACTAAATGTTTTGAATTTAATTCTCCTTAATGAAAACAATAGGTAAGAATCTAAGCTAAAATGTTGTTTTTATTACAGGTTTCACTTCTGGCACCTCAAAAGCCCCGGGAGCTGATAATCCCTTCTTGGGCTGCATGAAGGATGTCCAGGTGAACGGAGAGACCTACGATCCGCTGGAGAGTTCAAGCTACTATGGCGTGGAGCCTTCCTGCAAGGACATGATCAGCAAGTGAGTACCGAACTTACCTTCTATATGTATTATTTTCTATATCTCCAATCCGTTCTAGGGCTGGTTTTTCGGGTAATGGTTACTTGGAACTGCCATCGCAATCCCTGCGAAAGCGTTCCAATACCGCTTTGGTGTTCCGTACTCTACAACCCGACTGCCTTTTGCTCCTGGCCGCCTATCCGCCTGAAATTCTGGCTGACTACGATGCCAAGGACATTAAGGGCAACTTCTCAATCAGCCTGGTTGATGGGCAACTCCATGTGTGGGTCAATTCAGGTCGCAGTTTCATCAAGATGTCCTCGAACTCCAGTCAAATGAACGATGGCGAGTTCCATGTGGTGAATCTTATCAAGACGGGTCGCAAACTGGAACTGATGGTGGATGATGAGCTGCAGGAGGCTCGTAACCTGAACGGCAATCCCACGGTGATCAGTCTTCCAAGGGATGCAGGTGGACTTTACATTGGAGGAGCTCCGCCACATGAGAGCTACACTCCTTTGGCTCCAACTTTTGTGAATCTGGAAGGAGCCATTCGGGATGTGGTGTTCAACAATCGAACGATGAACTTCAACGATGCCTTGACCTTTGCCAACGTTCAGATCGGAAGAAATGGTCCGCTGATGGGAAGTCTGAAGGGAGGACTCTACGATGTCCTGCTGAAAACGGAGCCCATGATTGGCAAGAGTTTCACAGCCTCGCCTGAGGGATGCAAGCGGGTAAGTCTATAGAGTTTCTATATTATTTGGATCGGTCTGGATGGGGTGGTATTCTAATTCGAATGGGTGCTGTCCATCTACTGCATGTAAATATGTGGCTAGCTAACTCTGTTAAACTCAATCGTTTCTCTTTGTTCTTATAGGATTTTAGTTGCTAAGCAATTATGTCAAAAGCGGCTACGCTAAAAGCTTCAAGCGCTGCGCTTCAAGAAAGCTCATTTGTATACTAATTTCGCCTAAAACAAAAAACAAAAAAAACAAAATAGCTAACCAATCAAGCTACTCTATGTGGTCTACATGTGGATTAATATAACCAATCATCATCAAAGATATAACCTCAGTTCTTGCACATAGAAAACCATTGGGAAAGTGGGCCCATAGGAGCATGATCCCAAAACAGAGATTCAAGGTATCGAAATCCTGTTGAGATCATTTCGCTTTTGTGGGCAGACTGATTTAGCTTTAAGCTAGCGATCCTGGTCCTCAGATAACCAAACCATAAATGAGCCATATTCTTAGTTAATAATTATCATTTTAAACACGTTTGCAATTTTGTAAATATTTCATACGACTTTTTGCTATTCGATAAGCTTCAAAGATCAACTTAGTTTGTAAGATTCATCATACTCAAATCATACACATCACTCATCAACGCTTTGTGTACGTTTTTGCTTTCATGAATGTATCATACAATTAACATTTGCTTACTTGCAACATCGACTTTTAATTGTTATCACATTTACCTAAATAAAACATTTTTATAACAAAAAGAAAACCAAAATCATGGCAAAGTTTTTATTATTTATAACTCACAAACGCTGAGATCGCTCCGCAAAAGATCAGAAACTAACACAAAGTCGTCGCGGTGAGTTGAGTTCCAATAGGATAGCATAATGGTACTGGTCATAATCGGGTTAATCTCTTACAGATCGGCAGCTACTCCTACGAACCGAATGCCTTCAAGTTCGGAGACGATTTCTACAGCTATTCCCAGCTGAAATTGCCGGAGCGTCACTTTTGGCAGCGCAACTTCCACCTGAGCTTCGACTTCCGTTCGTTTTATCCCAATGGAATGCTCTACTTATCTCCAGGAAGCAAGGAGAAACCCAAGCACTATGTGGCTCTCATTCTCAAGGATGGTCAACTGGTTCTGGTGGTGCGAGGACGTCGGAGGGAAGAGCTTCAACTCACCGCCAAGTTGAACGATGGCGAATGGCATCGAGTGACGATAAGTTGTCAGGATAGGAAGGTCACCATGTCCGTGGAAATCGGGAGAACCGACCAGAAGACTTCTGCTCAAATGAAGCTGCCCAAGAAGATCGGCGCCTCGCAGTTGCTACTTGTTGGTGGTTTACCCCAATCGCCAGTTAAGGTCTCCTCGGATTTGTATGTCCGATTGGAGCCTTTTAAGGGTTGTCTCCGCCGAGTCAGCATCAACAACAACACCCAGGATTTGGCCAGACCCGGTAAACACTCCAATGTGGGTCAGTGTTTCCCCACAGTGGAAAGAGGCAGCTATTTCCCCGGAGATGCCTATGCCATTTATAGTGAGTTGTTGTTGGGTAAGGATTTAATGTATTTTTAATAACCTATATACTTCCTTTACAGAGAAAAACTTTAATGTGGGCAAGTACCTGGACTTGGAAACGGAATTCAGAACTTCGGAATTATCGGGTATTCTGCTGAGTGTCTCTGATCCAAATGGATTCCCAGCACTTTCACTGGAGCTACATAATGGCAATGTAAGTTTTACATTCTAATTCTTTACTAAAATTAATTGAAATATATAAATTAAAATTAATGGAAAGTGTATAGTATTTTCCTGTCACAGATTACTCATCAAATGAAACAATTAACAAATCTCTGTATATTGATATTAGCAATACTAATTTAACTTTAATCTCTTTTTAGATAATATTCTCCTGCGACCTGGGCAATGGAGTGCCTCTGCGAGTGGAATCCTCACTGCCCACAAAGTATGCCCTGTGTGACAATAAATGGCACAATATTTCAGCACTTTTCGACGGCGAGCAGATTGTTCTGCGCATTGATCAGTTGCCTGCTGTTATAAGTCTAGGAAACCAGCAGAATGTTGGGAAGGTGCAAACCCGCTCACCACTCTATATAGGCGGATTGCCAGGTAAGTCTTTATAAACTAAATCTATTTTAAATATACCTTTCTAATTCTTTAAATATTTCCTGCAGAGTCTGCACCCAGTGGCTCACTGATGTCGCGGGAAAACTTCAAGGGCTGCATTCGCCACGTTTCCATTCGAAATGAGAGACGCGACTGGATCGAGATGGAGGATCTGAGGAACGTGCTCCTCAGCGAGTGCCTTGTGTCCAGCGATGACAGTTGAAGATCGGACTTAAAGACCGCTTTCCGTGCGCTTCTGGTTCCTGTTGACGCCACACCAAAACTTTTTCCAAATGAATTGTGATCAGTAACGAGTTTAGAGCCAGTTATTTAGAGCCCTTCACTGCCATATAAGTTAGATTACTCTACTATTTAAGGATTATTTTTAACGACAAACTTTATTGCCAGTGACTGCATTTTGTACTTCGCAATCTGAATTATAATTTATTTCGCCTATTTATAGAGTTCATTACTTTGTTTATTATTTATTTTATGTTTTAAAAGAGGCTTCAACTTGTTTAAAATTTGGTTTTTACGAATCTCCTGCTTGTACAGTGCGCAACGAAATTTACTTAAGTAGCAATAACTTTCATTATTTTCATTTGTACATAGAACTGCCATTTAGTTTGTATTCAATATAGTACATGTAGTATTCCCATATTATTAAATTAAATAAAAACCTATTATTTTAAAGAAACCTTTCAAGTGAATTGTGATTTTAATCATTCGCGGGGGTTTCTAAATTTTTATTCAGCAGTTCTTCTGGGAGTTAACTTTCACCAGCTTCGATCATAAGTTTCTAGAATCCCAAAGCAATTATAGCTTACATATTTTTTAACCCACACAATGAGTATTACTAAATCGGTGCGGAGCAGCCGACGGACAAGACGATCAGTAAATACAATAGACGTTGGTCCCTTTATCTACTGCGTTAATTTTTATGACAATGGATTGAGTGCGGTTCGGGATGAGTTCGTGAAAAGGGTGGCCAGCGGCACTCGTCGGGCTGTTTTCGTTATCGATGTGGAAAAGGAAATTGCGGAGGTTAGCCTGCAAAACGAGCGAAAGTCGAAAGTAAAAAGATTGGGTAGGTTGCAGATCAAAAGTTAATCAAATTGATTGTCATTAGTGTAAAATGTCTTCCAGGAGGATCGGTGGACTTGAGGTCCGAGGACCCTGTGAAAATTATTCTGCAATGCATTCAAAACTGTGTAGACGAGTATGATAGGATCACCAAGAGGATTGAGTCCGAGAATAATTTCGATCTGTACGCCTATTGGCAACGTAATTTTCCCGCGAAGCTCAAGAATTTGGTGCCATCGGGGAGTAAGAAAAAAACTGGAGGACAGGAAACCAGACGTGGCTCGAATACAGTCAGAACCAAAACTGGCAAGACGTCCAGTGACAAGAAGCATCTGGAGAAGATCAACTGCTCATCCGTGACGGCCAAGGAGCATCACAAAATTGGCAAGGAGACAACCAAGTTTGAGGTAACTATATTATATTAACTATATTAAACACTGCTTTATAAAAAAAAAGTTATAAGTGCATTTCAGTTTTTTTATTATTTTCAAACTTTATTTTTTAGCTGTTAAATTGTTCACTTTTTTTATTCAGTTTATCAAAGACAATCCAGCCTTTACGAAAATCCTAATCCTGATCGTTGGTAATATGAATAACGACTTTTACAAAATTCTGCTCAAATACGATCAACCATTACGTGCCATTATCCATTTTATGCCGGAGGAGAGTGCCTACGATTTGCTGGTGCCTCGTCCTCGGCGGGAAAAGAGCCTCCAAGAGGCACTGGCCGTCATCCAACGAGATATACATTCACTTCGCAAAAGGGTTCCCTCAAAGCCAGTGGGTATTTTCCAGCAGAAACTACCACAAATGTCCTCCTGCATGGCTGAGAAATTTACGGATGACGTCTTCGATCAACTGAGTTGGTACATGTACGATGTGGAAACGCTGCGGGAATGGTATAGGACGTTCTACGTGGAGCCTTACAGGGAAACCAATGTTAAGTTGGATCCATTGGTGCCATTGCAGGAAATGTATCACGTGGTTGAATCCATGAGCATCCAGGGGCACTATATAAAATCGCAAATGCCGGCTGCTCGAGCCGATGATGGCACCGTTTACTTATACATGGAGTCCCTAATGAATACTTTTGGCAATCCCAGGGAACTGATGACCGAAACGGAGGTCCTTCTGCTGGCAAATCCCACGCCATCGGTTCAAACTCGAGTCCTCGATAAAGTGAAAGTTTATGCCAATTCCTTTAAAAGCATCGTGAAGCTCAACAAAAACGATCGAATTTTTGTAGAGAAGGCCAATACGTTGCTAACTAACCTGTTGAGCTATACGGATCAATCCCTAATGAGAAACGTTTACTACGGCTGTCTGGAGTACAATTTATTGAGGCGTTACTTTACTTCCGGCTATATCAACAACTCATTAAAATGTAAGCCTTATCTTGGTGAACTGGAACCGGTATTTCTGCCCAAATACGCACAGCTTTATCTCACGGATGACTCGGTTATGCAAAGGATTATTCAGCTAGTTAATGATTATGATGATTTTAGTGTGGAGGAGGTGCAGCCAAATGTGCATCTCTATACTTTTCGGCGTTCCCTAAATGAGGTTTTTGAGCAGGAGAATCAAACTGTAATTCCCACGAGACTTTGCTTCAGAGATTTTACCTTGTACGAAATGGAAAGTAAGTATAAATTTGTTCTCTTTATTTAAAGATAAAACTTGTTATGGATTTTTGTGCGCTTAAAGATTTCCTTCAAGACTTGGTCACCCCGCAAAAGTTTAGCGAAAAGTTGACCGAAAGTTATTTGTCTAACGAGGAACTGAGTGGCGATATAGTTTTGGGTCATGACTCTTTAATGGTCAAGTGCAATGACGAAAACGACCGTGTTCCCATCGATCCCAGAGTCTTTGTCCGGCGTAAATCCATTAAAGAACAGTTGGCCAAGAAAAAAGAAAAGAAGGAAGAAGATGCGCGTTCCATGGCCCGGAAAAGCTCAGTAAACCCACAGCAAAGTGTACTGTCAAGCAGATTGACGCGACAATCTGAAGCTGAAAGAACACGCACCAGCTTGCAACCAAAAGAATCTACCTTCACAAAGCAGGAGTCACAATTGTATCTGGGACTTGCTCCCAATCATCCAATGCTTGAAGGTTACAATCTTGATGACACCCGACAAACCATCAAGTGCAAGACCTCGAAGTATTTCTTTGAAGAGGGCAGGATTGTGCTCTACGAGGAGAAGTGGAACTTCCGTCAGATGAACAAGTGCCTGGCCTTGGAGATCGGCGGCCAGGAGGTGCATTTCCGGAGTGCCAGCGATCCACTGGGAGTAACTGCCGCCGATTCCAGTGTAAGGATCGAGTCGAAGAACGGAATTAGTCTGAGGGTCATGCCAATGGAGAGCGAGTGCGCCAAGGTGGTCCTGAACTATCCCAATGGTCTAAGTACCTATTGTCATGATACCCATTCGGAGCATTTGTGGCAATATCAGGTAGGATTAAAGTGTGATATTTAGTTTAAGATATAACATTTAAAATGTACAAAACTTGTATTCATTTAGTTAAAAATAGTTTTTAAAAAGTTTATTGTAAAGTCCAAATATTTTCGACTTGAACGTAGTTTCGTAGAACACTTTTTATAAACCCACTTGCTTCTTAACTCTTTAACTCTCGTTAAATCTTACAATTTTAAAAACCTTTTTATTGAACTGAATAACCAACATAATCCACTTTTCAACCAGGATAATGAACTGGACGAGATCCGTCGCATTTGCACTCCTTACGGCTGTGTGATAGTGTTCTACCAGAACACAGATACCATTTTGATCATGCGATACAATGGCGAGGTTTATCAACTGTACAGCTCTACGGCTGCCGAAAACGAGGAGGAGGAGGATCCTAGCCCTGAGTTCATCAATGCCTGCTCCACCCAGTCCACGTATACCACGTATGAACCTCTTCGGGAGCCCAAAAAGAAGCAGAGAAGCAACGCGCCCTCGTCCCAGAAAAGTTCAGTAGTTCGCAATTCCGGAGGAATGGATTCCGTTTTGCGGCCGTCGAAACAGAGTCTTGGCTCCAAAGTGTCGAAGAAAAGTGTGAATTCCAATTTGGGTGGAAGAAGGAGTCGAATTCTCAAGAATCAACAGGCTGTCGCCTTGTTCGAAAGCATTAAGTTTGAGTTGAACTTTCTCAACTTCATTATGGCCCTCTACAAACTGAGCTACAGATACCTCAAGTTGACCACATCGCTGGGCAGTGTGGTCAATGTGCAGTTGGATGGGAAAATCTGGTGCGGAAAACCCTTTCGGAACACCGAGTGGCACGACTATTATGCAAATGAATCCTATTCGATGAGGGACGATGGTGTCAAAATTATCTGGACAAAGGATGAAATACGTTGTTACCACACAGATGGCACCGTCATCACGTCGGGAACCATCGAAGGCTGGGAAACCAGCTCGGATACTGATGAAATGGACTTTGAAATTAGTTCGAGTAGCTCTCATATCAATGCCATTAATAGCGATTCTTTTAATGGAAGGGTAAGTTCTAAAGTCGTTTTCTTTTCACTAAGTCTTTAAGTATTTTTAGGGTGAAACAATGTTTATTAACGCACCGGATGGCTTGCCATTTGAGAAAGTTAGTCATGAGACTCTAAAAGTGGAGGAAGTGGAGTTTCAATCACCGAATGCCAGCAATAGGAAGTTGTCATCCCAGTCTGAAGTGATAATAGAGGAAGAGGAGGGCGAGGTTTACTTTGACAGGATCTTCATAACATTCATGCCAAATAGTTTCATGATAAACCACAAAATCTATGCCGGCATTCACTTCTCGTTCAGCCACATTACCGAAGTGGACCTAAATCTCGAGACCTCGATCTTCACCTGCGACAACATGAATGTTCGGGTATTCAAGTATGCAATGCCACTTGAGGCGACACAGCTCGATCCCCCAGAGCCCATGTCATCTGAGGCTGATCCCGACGAATGGACCAAACCCAAAGTTAAGGAGCCCTCCTTAATTCCGGATAGTGATGTTCTTTCCGATGAAATACCCACCAGTGGCGAGGAACAAAAGTCAGAGTCCCTAGACTTAGTTCTACACACATGTGTGGAGGTCGAATGCAATAACTTAAGGCTAATTTTGTTTGATGATCGGGTTACGATACAAACACGCATTCGTAAGTTTGGATGCGACGAAAATGCAAAGTGCAATCTTCAAGTTCAGTAAGTTAGAGATTCCAAGTTATAAAAATACTTTAACCTCCAATATATAATAAACTATTTTTTGTTACATACAAAACAAACTTTATTTCTAGTGACGACATCGAATTAAAAGTTAACTTTGCTGAAAACCTGCTGACAACTTTTCGGAAGTGGATAGATGAGCTTACCAGTTTCATCAACTGTTTCTGTCCCAAAAGGCGCTCATTGTATTTCCTAGAAACCCAAAACAAAAGTTGTCAAAAGAAAGGTAACTAAAATATTAAATAGCAGTCCCAAAAAATGTAATTTAATTCAATTATTTTTAGGATTTGAGTTACTAAAAACGGTGCCGCCTCTCGGAAAGTATAACTTCTGTGCTGGCAATTACTTTATTGATGTAAGCCAGCTCAGATCGGTGGATAATCAAATGAAAAACAAGTATGACTGGTTTGACAAGGATATGGAGAAGTTTCCACGCTTTCCGCTTATCAGAAAACCACCGCAACAAGAGGAAGATTTTCCCATGGTTTTGGATGCCAAGATATTTGTGGAGATACCTGCACAATTAGCTAATACGGATCGGATTCACCAGTTCGTTACTGAATTCGATGCGATCAAGTTTAGGAAACAGCGATATCGCTTTAATGAGTGAGTAAATCATTTAATTTTTAAGTAATTTATTAAAGAACGATCAATTTTAGAGCTATCCTCTTCCATTTACATCCCCGATTGGGACTTCTAGTTCAGCAGGAGATGAGCAAACGCAGCTGGAAGAATCACCATGAAGAGCATCGTCGTCGGTTGTTTATAGAACAGCAGCGCCTTAGTCTTTATATGGCCATGCTAAAGCATAAGGTTTATCCCAACTATTTCCAGTTTAAGGACCAGTTCAACTACCATGTCCGGAATATCGAATTCTTCCAGTTCATGACATCCAAGTGCAACGAGAAGATCCATCCTGAGGAGATCATCACCGAACCATCCGAGGATCCGCACCAAACGAGCCAGAAAGCCAAGAAAAAGAATAAAAAATGTGTCTGTCCCAAATACCTAAAATCTTTGGATTAAAGTCAATAAATTTACAACAATTTACAAAGGATTTTTAAAGGGTTAAAAGTAAAACTATTTTATGATTTTAATAACTATAACTTAAGATTCTATCTCAATTTAGTTCAAAGAAAAGTTATGAATTACACTAATAAATAAAAATAAAAATACTTAATAACTAAATTACTTTTAGTATAAAAAACTTTTGTTTAAAAATATTTAAAATTTTTAATTTTTAACCGCAAAGTTAGTCTTCTTAATTTATTACTTAATTTTCGCCTATTCTTTTTTTACTGCCTCATCAGTTATTTGGTTTTCACCACGAATTCAAACTTGGCGCTCTGCTGGCCTTTTCCCCCACGTTATCGATTGGAGATGCCCCCTTGTTATCGGTTGGCGTTTGATTGTTAGCCCCATTCGGTCATACCAACTGGCTGCCTCAGATGTTGTTTTTTTTCCGACTGCTCCGGTCGTGCGTTCGTGTTGCTCTCCAATAAAATCAGATATATGTAGGCGAAAAACATGAATTAAAAAATCTCCAGAAGCATTAACGTTCCCGAACCGAACACGCGATCATCGAAATTAAACAATCGAAATGGCAGAAACTGTGGCAACGGAAATCATTGCAATGGGCAATGGAAGTGCGGTGGGGGAAATGCCAATGGAAACGCGGTGGGAATCGCCGAATCTGCAAGTGCCGTCTTCCAGGAGAAGATGAAGCTCCAATCGGAGGAGCCCAACGAGATCACGGCGGTGCCGAAATACGGACTCAAATTAAAATTCGACCATGTTTGGCCGGAGCGGAGGATCCAAAATGTCCGGGCTTCCATACGGCAAACGCTGCCGATGGTTCCCCTCGTTTGCAGGTGGGATATAAACAGACACAAGCCAATGTCCCTATCTAAAAGTGGAGTTTCCCCAACTCCAGAGGGGCTCACAAAAATAGAGTCGTGATACACAAAATTAACGAGAAATACAGTAGGCAGAATGATAGGAATTTTAATGATTAATAATAAGCGAATGTGGTAAAGAATGTGGAAAACCATGAATTTAATAAAATCGTTATATTATAATTAGTGTACAACATTTTTAAAGAACTTTCTTTCTTAAAAACAAAATTAAAATTTGAGTATCATCAGTAACATCTGTCAACATTTTTATAATAAAATGTTATCCGTTAAATTATTGATCCCAGTGTATTTTGTAGTCTGATGCTGGGGTATGGACACCTTATCCATAATTAATTAAGGCACAATAATGAGAAATCAATATCTGGGCCTAATAATACCTCAACAGGAGTGACATCGAGCCGGTCTCCCTTCCCTTCCCCTCGTATTCATCGCTTTCTATATCTCTCGTGCGTGCCAAATATAGCGTCAGGTCCTGGCCAACAAATACAACAAACACAGACACACAACAGTAGGCCCAACTCATAAATTGAATTCTTTTGTGGTCCCCGTTGCCAACTAAATGTCATTAAAACCGTTAGCGCAAAGGATCAGAGGACAAAAACACGCAAGGATTTAGTAACAGGAAGTGGGATAAAGAAATGGAATAGGTTCTAATAGCAAAGACACTTTAAAGGGGATAATTAATTAATATTTAAAATAGTTTAAAATTACGTATTATTTTATTGTTTCAACGATAAATTATATATTTCAAGCAATACATTGTAGGTTTAAAAGAATACTATATGTACTTGAAAACTGGCTTCAAATCGAAGTTAATTAGCCTCTTCTAGCGGCTGTAAATTTTTTACTCCTGCCATAGCATAATCACTACTTTCTGCGGTTCACTACTTTGTATGCCTCCACAAAAAAAAAAAAAAAATCCCGCATATCTTGGCGCCACAATGTTGCCATTGTTATACCTCCTTGCCCCATTCCTGTCTGCCCGCATTGGCGCCACGTTGGGCGTCCTGTTTGCGTGTCCTGGCCACATTTTCGGAGCTCCAGCCGAAAGGACTCAAACACACAAATACAATAGTTGGTTTTTCAGCTCCCCTTTCATAGTTTGCTTTGACTGACGTTTCTTTGACTGGAACTGTTGACCCGAACCCGCATCTCGTTGTAGTTGTTCAAAATCACAGCATTAAGTGACCTAACAAATGACCCATATTACAAAATTCTGAAAGTGCAATGAACTTGTGGTTCTCTTACTCAATTATCGTTATGATTTCTCATTTTGCAGGAATTTTAAATAAGCTTTCAAACTTCACAGCCAGCATATGAAAAGCCTTAACTGTTGTCAAAAGTATGACTAACACTGATAGTAAATTGTATGACGTGTACAAGAAGGCTAAGAATTGTTAAACTGATAATGTGATACATATTTTATAAAGGGAAGCATATAATTATTAAAGTGCTTTCAAAAACTAAGTAATAAGTCCATTTGTCAGCAAGATAAATATGGGTCACGGCAAGATTAATCCATAATTTACTTTTAATAGTTATTTAATAGGTTTTTTAATATCAAATTTTGATTTTGTGACTGTGCATGGTATTTATATATACCCCAAAAAGATAAACCTCAGGCTACCTAGCATAAAAAGAGTCATAAAATATTTTAGCTGTTACTACCTCTGCACGAATCGCTGCCTTATCATTAACAGAAGTGTTATGTCATTATGATGATAGTAAGTCAACGGTTTACCTTTACTTTTTGGTCTTTTCCATGGAATAATAATAATATAGTTATCAGCGCCTTTTAAATCGTCTGAAAAAATTCAACTACGGCTATAAAAACCTTTTAGTATTGGCCAAACTTACCTATCTCAACACTCTGGTTAAGGCATTTATACTTCCAAAATCTTTTGACTAGTTTCTCTATTCGTCACTTTTTCAGCTTTTGTTGCTTGATTAAGTTTTATATTATACAACAAGTATGCAACGCAAAACGCGATTAGAAAAGCCTCATCAAGGTTGACTAAGCGATTTTCCAGCCTAGGAGAATTCTCATTTATGCCTGATAAGCCAATTTAGAGCGACCTCATTAAATATTGGGTTCAACAGTGTGATATACCGACTTAAATCTGATAAAGGTTTATACTTTACTTTCTGAACTTATTTTCCAATATTATATAAAATAATATGTGTGTCAGTTGGATTTCTTCCTGGTTTTCCTTTAACGGAAGCCTCCCAGCATCAGTTCAATGTATCTTTGATGACCCAGTTCCGGCAATTTTCCTTTTCCTGATAGCCAACTTCTTTTCACACAATTTCAATCCAGGCGCCTGGTGGAATGAACGGCGCCAGTCAGGAAAACATATAGGATAGCGAACTCCTTTTGGGAGCCCCCATTTTGTCTGTCTGTCACACATCAAATGCTTTTGGCAAGCTCCCAAGGATTGTGCACACTGCTTCCTTTATTTTCTCCTTGGGCGAGCCAAGAGATGAGGTCTACATATCCTTAGAACCTCTCCAGGACTCCTCACAATATCCTCAATTTCGCAGTGCATTGAAAAAATCTGTGAATAACCCTGGACTCCTCCTGCGAGTCATGTGCATTCGTAAATGGATAATAACACAGTTCGTTTTCCTTTTTTTTTTATTTCCCCTCTCAAATCATATGCCCATCCAGTTGGAGCACTTTTCGTTATTGTTTTCCCATGTCAGAAGAGCTGAACATTTCTGTGGCAAGATGGGAATCTTATACAAGTCGTTGAAGAAAAATGAATTCCCTCGGGGGAAAGCATTTTGTTTTGAAGCGCTTTTCCTTTTCCTTTTGCCTTTCAACTAGTCACATTTTGTTTATTTTTGATGCATCTCCTAGTCAGTTTATTGTGTGTTTTCAGATTGGAAGCTCATGTGCACAGGGGATTTGATATTTATAGAGTTTTTCATTAAGTAAGGGGATAGATGGAGGGAGTTTTTTCCATATAATATATACAAGTTTAGTGGGACTTCTAGGCAAATTAATGCCTTGGCATATCATCTTAATCTTTAAGCTAAAGTTAGCAAACAATTTAATCTCACGCTATATGTCAGCTTACCTCGAACTAACTTATCTAATTCCGAAAAGGTCAACAAAGTTATATATTAATTTCAGACAGCAATTTATCCAGGTACGGAGACCACGTCAGCAAACTTCATTAGTGCCACAAGCAATTTAGGTACTGTCCACTCCTTGATCCCTTCCCAACCTCCTTTCCCTTCCATTTCTCCTGACCCACGCTGACCCGGAAAAAGTTTTCTCCAACAATTTCACAAATTGTGTGAAACATAAAAGTTTGTTGCACAGGCCAAAAAAAGGGGAAATACATAAAGCATGGCAATGTTTGGATGACCCGAGTTTGGTTGAGAGCTTAATTGGACGACTGAGTTACAATTCAATTAAAAAACTATTTTCATGTCAGGACAGTGACCCAGGATGAAAGAGTCACTAAAAAATTAAAGGCCATCAAAGTGAAAGCAATTACCTTATAGATATGTACATACACATTGAAGATTACTTAGCAATGCCACAGTTCTTAACATAAAATCTTAAAATCTTTTAAATATGTATATGCTCGTTGCATGAAGAATTATTTACCAAAGTAACAGTTCGTAAATAATTGATCAATATTTTTAATCATTACTAATATTTTAAACATAACTATCATTTCTATAAGGATATAGTGAAAAGGAACAATAGATTTTAATGCATTACAAAACATTGTTTTGTTTGATGATCAGCTTTTAGAAATGAATATTACTTTAGCCATCTAGTGAACTCTTACAATCCAGTCGAACGAGCTCTGTCCAGATCCATTCTCAGTAGTTGTACTTCAAGCATTTTATTGAGTGAACGTTTCGTGGATCAGTTGACTTGAAGACAATCGAACCAGACGCTGGGCAACTGGGGATCTCCGCCAAGTGGACGCTGATTGATGAACGCAGGATGAACCGTCACGAGGACATCGTGTGCAAGGGCTGCGGCAAGGAGTCCTTCACGGGCCGGTGCTACCACTGCCTCTCCTGCCGCGACTTCGACCTGTGCGCGGACTGCTATGACCTCGACTTCACCACCGCCGAGCATCCGTTCGATCATCCGGTGGTGTGTGTGTTCACGGTGGCCGACGTGGAGCTGTACTTCGGTGGCGAGTACATCAGCAGCGATCCGCCGCAGAGCTACCGTTGTCCGTATTGCAAGGAATGGGGCTTCAACGAGTCCACCTTCCTGGAGCACGTGTCCGCCATGCATCCGAATGCCAGTCCGCTGTTGGTGGCCACCATGGTTACGCTCTTCGAGCAGCAACAGGCCGCGAGGTTGTTCCTGGAGGACGAGCAGTTGGCCTCCATTGCGGCGACGGCCAGATCGCGCAATCAGCAAATGCGACGCACGGTGGGCTCCCTGGATCTCTACCTGGAGCAACTCAATCCGGATGGCAGCTACCGGAGGGCGTCGGAGAACGAAGTGCCCACCATATCCAGGGGCAATGAGGTGGTGGCCAGGGATCGGGTCTATCGTGTGTCACGTCGAGGTGGTGCGACACCGGGAAGGAGCAGCACTTCCGGCAGGATCTTCGGCACTCGGCTGGCAGCCACCGTGACCAGATCCTCTGTCAGAAACAGCAACAACAACAACAGCAGTAACAACAACAGCAGTAACAACAACAACAATAGCTCCTCGAATGGCTCCAACAATAGCAACGCCTTGGAGTTGGAGGACGATGTGTTCCCCATTGCGAACAATCCCCGCCTGAATTGGCTGCAACGCAGTCCAGCGGCGGTGGAAAGACTGCGTCTTTCTCTCACGGACACGGGACACACTTTGCCACCTGTGGAAATGCAAGGAGATACGGCTGCCCCCATCACACATCCTGCTCTAACCGAGATGATGCGCTTCTACGGTGGCAATCTGCAAATACCACAGGACTCACCCAGACCGCCAGGAGTCCGTTTATTCAACCCAAATTCTACCAACTCACCGCAACCGGTCAATAGTAGCAATGGCAACCAGCGAAATGTTTACGGACCGACCTCGTCTTTTGGTTCAGCGCCCAGGAACTTCTTTTTGGGACCGGATATTTTTCCGCGCGAAGAGCGACGAAGGACCGCCCGGATGCCAAGTGGTGGACTGCCTCGGCTGGGTCCAGTTTCCCGTGCCTTGACCACTCGCAACGTGGACTTTAGTGAAGCACCCGTGGAGGAGACGATACTCAACATCTCATCGGTGGAGATCCTGATGAGATCTCTGAATGACGAGCACGCAGCGGTGGTCAAGCAAAGGGAACAGGAACGCAAGCGGTTTCTCTGCTATCGCTTCCTGTCCCCAAAGACACCCAAACGTCCCAAGGATAATTCCCTGGCACTGCGAGCCGAGTTCGTGGCCCACCTGCTGTCATCCGCCTTGTGCGAAGAGGACTTCCAGGGGATATCCTTTGCAGCCACGGGAATTATGAACCCAAAACCGAAGACGGTTTCCAATGGCGGAATCGCAGGAGCCGGTGATGCCGAAAAGATCTCATCTCCCTAACTTATGAAATCTGTTTTCTGTACCATTTGTAGCTGTGATAAGCAGTGCATTTTCTTATACCTTTTATATTGTTTAAATTTCCTGTTTACGAGACAATTTTGGTAGCATTTGGGCTTTGAACGCCAGTAAATTTGTGGCAGTCTTGGATTTGTTTTCTTAAATGCACTCCCTTTTTTAATGTTTTTAAAAGAGTTTATTGTTCATGTGGTGATTGTTTTCATGCAATTTCTTTTTCGTAGCTTTTTATTGTATAGGTTTGGGTTATATACCTAAGAAAATGCTTTTAAAGAATTATGTATGGCACTTTAAGATTGTTACTAAAGCAACTTAGCCATAAAGCAGCCTCAAGATTAAGCAGGATCAAATCAAAGGATATGCAATTACCAACAAAAGTGAAGATTTTGTTTAGCTCTTCATAACCCCAAGCCACTTGGAAAAGTGCTACCACAGAACTCGGAAAACCACTCCACACTTATATTTAGCATAATTAAAAAGTCAACAGGGTAGCGCAAAGTACAAGAATTTGCTTAAGGCAATTGCAAATCACTGCCATTTTCCTCTTTCGCAATTTCCCTGTGGTAGATTTTCAAGCTTTTCAATTAGCCTATTTGCCTTTTTCTTAACCCCCATCAAAAAGGGGTAAGTGTAGATGTGAAAAGAGGATTGTGAAATAAAAGCTTTATAATCTGCAAGGCGAAACTGCAGTTTTTTAATTGAAAATAATTGGATAATGGAAATTGAAGCGCATCTGTGCGTAGCTTATCGTGTTGCCTGACGTCAAACGAAAATCCCTTTGAGATTCAAATAAGTGCCGTCTTTTCTCGTCTTGTGTTCTGTGGCAATTATAAAGGTTGCGAATTTCCAGTTGGCAAATTTAAACATCGTTACGTTTTTCATTTGCACAATTTTCAGGCTTGGAGTTTAGTTAAAGAAAACTTTTTGTTGCCTTTCATGACGCATGACATTTAGATTTTTAATGATTGAAAAAGAAGGTGCGTCAACTTGTTGTAAAAGTTTGCCAAAGGTGTGTTTCGAATAGCACAACGAATTTATTGTTTAACCATAATTCCTGATAGGAAATCAAGCTGAAACATGCAACTTGCAAATAAATATTTGTTGAACGACTATTGATTTGGAAATAACTTAAATTCCTTTGTTGTCTTCTAATTACAAACATTTATTTAATTTTTGAATAGTTAGTTTCATTCATTATTAATTGAAAATCTAATTTAAACAATTTGAATTGGAAATAACTTAAATTTCGTTGTTGTCTACTAATTCGAAACTGTAAATTCGTGCTTAGATTTTCCTGATTTACATGGCTCATTAAAATGTCTCCTCCACTGAGTTTCGAAATATTTCCGTATGGCTGACAACATTCTGGCCCCCTTCTCGACCATTGGGCCATGCACTTGACTTTGGCAACCAAAGAGACACCCGCTGACCTTCAAAGAGGGCCTAGAAAATCCCAGGGGAGGCCAAACGAGAACGTTAAGCTGTCAGAGCCACAAATGCCCGATGTTTGGCCAGAAAACTTGAGGGGTTGTTTGGGGGGAAAGCACTCACAATTATGACATCATCGGGGTCAGGGCAAGCAATTGGATTGGCATCAAAAGTAGGGAAAGGGAATGGAAAACATTAGCCACCAAAATCCAACTTTTCCCCGACTGACACTCTCTTTTTATTTTGGTTTTTTTTCTAGATATGCGGCCTACTATTGGAAAGTGTCGCGTGAAGGTCGTCGGGTTTACATGGACTACTACTATATGGAGAATGGGAAGCAGATCTATGGAGTGCCCATCGGAGGAATCGGAGGTGGAACCATTGGCAGGGGCTATGCTGGAGAATTCTGCCGATTCCAAATGCGTCCTGGTATCTACGAATACAATGTGGTTCAGGCTAATCAGTTCATTGTGACCATCAAGGATCCCAAGGGATGCACCATCTTTCAGAGTCTATTATCCAAGTGCAGGTGAGCATATCTTCAGACCCATCTATTCCATATCATTCTATTCCCTTCCCATCGTTGCAAAGAAAGTTTTTCTTTTTGGATTTTATCGAACTTTATTTTCCCTTTTTTATTTCTGTTTGTTATGCGTGATTCGTGTTGTTTGCATGTTTAGAATTTAAATTCTTTTTGGTACCGCCCTCACTCACTGTAAATTATCTTTAGAGGAAAAACCTTTTTTGTTACTTATCTATCGCGACGGGTTTTCCATGTTTTACTTTCTAATAACAGACAGCCTACGTCAAGTTAACCTAGAATGAATTTCTTTTGCGACAAGTGGGACAACGAACTTAAAGTAGGTACATGTCGTGCCCAAATTGTTTGGGTCATTCGACAAAGGTTTTCCAGTTTATGTCAAATTTGATGGGTATTCCATTAGCATAAGAACTTTTGATTAAATGCATTTATAAAGGTCTCTTGGGAAAGACGCAGTTCCGAATAGATAAAACTCCACTTATTGTAACATGTGATAAGTAAAATAACATGTATAATGCAGTGATATTATTTTAAGCATCATAGGGTCAATTACTCTTGACAAAGGCCTTTGTTTTATATCAAACGTCAGTAATCAGGAAAATTGTATATTCAAAGTAGGTATAGCTTAAATTCAATTTTGATTGAAATATATAACTAACGTAATAATAATTATTATTAAAAATCTATTGCTACCTTTCTAACCATTCCTACTAATTAAGTGTTTTTCTCCGTAATTCTTGTACTTGTAAATATTTGTCTTCCTTAACCCTCTAAACGAAATAAGTGTGCCCTCTTTAACCCCAGATCACTTTCAATGCTAACCCCACTCACCTTAAAAATAGGTGTAGGTTTCTGTGTACTAAAAAACCCCAAGAAACAAAACCAGTTTCCAAAAGAGATAACCTCAAAATTAAAATATTTTTCTCTAATTCTTGATGCACACATAAAACGAATTATAAAACACGCAACTCTTATCGACAAACAAAAAACACACCGACAACCATCGACACATATGGATATGTTTGACATACAAAACCACCGATTCTGGGTTATTTTGGGTTATCTGGCGCGACGACAACCACCGATTTTTGGTATGATATGGTATGGTGGGTGTTTTAACCTTTTGCTTTCTGGGGCTTTGTGCACTTTGGTTCCGATTTGGTTTCGCTTTGTTGCCGCTTTTGCCACTCCTGCGCAAAATCACAAATGCACCCATTTAGCACCAGGGAGAAGTTCAGCGATCCGGATGGCGATCTGGATGGGGAAAGAACTAAATGTCAACTGCCCAATTGCAGCAGTCGCGCCAAGCAGCCTCTGAGTTCCTGGCACTCCAACATCGATGACTCACGCTGCAGTTACACGGGTCTCTATCCTCGATCCTGGACAGAATACGACCTGTCGCCCTATGGCGTTCGCTTGATCTGTCGCCAGGTTTCGCCGGTGATCCCCCATGAGTACCGGGAATCCAGTCTGCCCTGCGCCGTCTTCGTTTGGAGTGTGGAGAACGTTTGCGACCAGGAGCGCAAGGTGTCCATCACGTTCAGTTTCAAAAACGGCACTGGCAACAAGAAACAGGACGCCGAAGGCGGTGCCGAATCGCAGCTAATCAGCGAGGGCAACGTAAAAGGAGTTTCCATCCGGCAGAAGATCGCCGACATGCCGTGCAGCTATAACCTGGCCTGTCGGGTTCGTCCCGAGATCAGCATCACGCGGTGTCCCCAGTTCGATCCCGCCGGCAACGGGGAGCAGCTGTGGGGCCAACTGAAGGAGCATGGTCAGCTCAGCGAGCAACCTACAGCGGAAACCCTGAAAAGTGAGTTCCTTGCGAGTAACTTATTCGTTTTTCTATTATGATTAGGGAATCTTCATTTAAAATATAATTATTTTATTTATTATTTATTAAGAAAAAATTGTAAACTTCTAAAAAACATTTTTTAGATTTTCTTAAAAAACGTGAAACAATTAAATTTGAGTAAAAATCAAAAACAAAGTTTAGGAAAAGGTACTATTTAGTATACTAACTTAAGAGTATAAATGACAAGCATTTATTTTATAGAATATAGAACTGTTCCACTCTGAAACTTGCATGTTTTGTGTTTTAAAATTTCTGAAATAATTTTAAAATGTTGATAACCCTTTCCATTTTAGCCAAAGATATTGGCGTGGCTGTCTGCGCCCAGGTGGCCCTAAAGCCAATGGCCTCGCATGAGCTGGAATTCGTGCTGGCTTGGGACATGCCGAAGATTCAGTTCCCCAGGAAGATGCAGACCCACACGCGCTACTACACCAAGTACTTTGATGACAGCGGGGACTCGGGTCCCAAGATCTGCGACTACGCACTGAGGCAGTACTCCACTTGGGAGCGATTGATTGATGCCTGGCAGAGGCCCATACTCAATGATGAGTAGGTTCATGTCGGACTTAGTTGTCAGTGATATAATTGATAACCCATTATTTATAGAACCCTACCCGACTGGTACAAGTGCGCCATCTTCAATCAACTCTACTTCATTTCCGATGGTGGAACTATTTGGTTGAAGTGCGATTCCTGGCTGGGCAAGGAGCTATCCTACGATGATCCCCGACTTGCCTATGGTCGCTTTGGTTACCTAGAGGGACACGAATACCGCATGTACAACACCTACGATGTCCACTTTTATGCCTCGCCAGCATTGGCCCATCTTTGGCCCAATCTGCAGGTCAGTTTGCAGTACGATTTCAAGGATGCCATCGCCGCAGAACTCACAGATACCCGTAAAATGCTCTACGATGGAAAGGTTATGCCCCGCAAGGTTAAGAACTGTGTGCCCCACGATCTCGGGGATCCCGATGAAGGTTGGTTTAAAGCTCTCTATTTAGTATCCGAAGCTACAAAGATACTTTCTTTCAAGAACCCTTCACCCTGATCAACTGTTACAACATCCACGATGTGAATGATTGGAAGGATCTCAATACAAAGTTTGTGCTGCAAGTCTATCGGGACTATTATGTCCTTAACGAGCTGGCCCAAGCTCAAGCGGATAATGCCAGTAAATTTAGCTCAATTGAGTTTATTGATAAGGAGAGTTTATATGAGTTGTACAGTCAGGACAACAAACGTAAAAATTCTGCTGATGAAAAGCAACGTAAGTCTTTTATAGTTATTTAAAGTGTTTCTTCGTTTTGATCACTAAAATATCTTATAATTATATTTGAATCCAGAGAACCGCAAATCTGCATCGATGTACATCAACGAAACCAACGGAAAGGTCTACCTAATGGACGCCATTGGCTACTTAAAGGCCATGTACGGAGCCTGCAAGGCCATCATGGAGCGGACCATTGAGTACGACAAGGACAACGACGGTCTGATCGAGAACACGAAGATGCCGGACCAGACCTACGACTCCTGGGTGATGGATGGGCCAAGTGCCTACTGCTCCGGCCTCTGGTTGGCTGCTCTGCAGTCCATGTCGGCCATGGCCACGATTCTGGATCAGCCGAACGATTGCCTGCGCTACCAGGACATTCTGGAGAAGGGCAAGCGATCGCTGGAGGAGAAGCTCTGGAACGGCAGCTACTATCGCTTTGATCTCTCGCACAGCCATCGGGATACGATTATGGCCGACCAGCTGTGCGGTCATTGGTATCTGAAGTCCTGTGGCTTCGACTACGAAATCTATCCGAAAGAGAATGTGCGAACTGCCTTGAAAAGAATCTACGACAACAATGTAATGGGTTTTCATGACGGAAATATCGGGGCAGCCAATGGCTTTATAGCCAACGCTGGGGAGCCCACAAAGCCGGGTCACGTGGACAACAGCCACATTCAGGCGGAGGAGGTGTGGCCCGGGGTGGTTTATGCTCTGGCAGCCACTATGATCCAGGAGGGAATGTTCGAGGAGGCCTTCCAAACAGCCGGCGGGATGTACAAGACCCTTTCGGAGCGGATCGGGATGAACTTCGAAACCCCGGAGGCGTTGTACGGCGAGAAGCGCTATCGGTCCATTGGATATATGCGACCCTTGAGCATTTGGTCCATGCAGGTGGCTTTGGAGCGACGGCGAGCACAACGCGACTAAATCGAGAGTACAATCTAATCCCAAGTCTACACAACCAAAGATATTTCTAAGCCAGCACAAAGATTTTCTTAGCTTTTAGTTTAATTTCTTCTGTCGAGGTTGAAAGTGAAACGAGCTTATTGAGGATGGATGCGAGTGAGGATGAAGATGATGTCGTCTGAGGTGGTATTCAAATTTATAGCTTTATGTGTACTTTTAAGCTGGAATCTGTTGGCGCTTACTCCATGTCTTCTCTAGCTATAAAGCCAGTCACAACAAATCAAACTGCTACTCTCTGTTGAAGTACAACTACGCAATGGTATTCAAATGGAGCACAATTCGTATTTAAATGTTAGCTAAGCATAATATTTAAATAAATTCATACTGTTTTAATTAATTATTTATGCCTTAAGAAAGTATTTCAATGTGTAAACTGTTGCTGTCTACAATAAATGTGACTAAAGAGTCAGAAAAAAATTATGAGCATGTGATGTGATCTACATTTCAAATTATCGTAAATATAATTTGTAATTTGTATACTACAGTCAATTGTTTATTGTTTTTCAAGTTTTGTTTCAAAATTGAATTCGGTTTATCAAACATTTAACGTAGATTTACTGTAATTTTATTATTTTCTTCAAACTCAATTTTTCTTAATTACCATCAACAAATTAACGTTACGAAACAGTTTCCGGTGTTCTTTTTTGGCTAATCCAGTTCTGCAAAAACTTATCGTATTCTCTTCGACTCCGGCAAACTATGACGAGGGAAGAGGGTCGACAACCATGTGACTGCAGCTCCTCCATACGCTCCTTTGTGGTTTTCAGGCTATGGCAAAGAATTCGAGGCACTTGGGCGATCTCAAATTTCGAAAACTTGGCCTCATCGAGTAAGTAGTCTAGAACCTCTTTTATCTAAAGATACAATTTTGGTTAATGCTTGTTAAATTGTAACAATTTCACAACTAACCTTAGTCACACGCACGGTGTGAACCTGTGGATGTTTGTCCATAATTACTTTGGCCTCACTCGCGCTAAAGCCCAATCGATGCGCGAGGTATTCCACAACGGAGGAGAACTCCCCCAGAACCTTCAGCTCATCAAGGGAAAGCTTCAAGGAACGCTGGAGTATGGGCTCAGGACAGCGCACCATCCACGGCATAATCTTATCTTTCTTTGCTCGTTTTGCGCGCTCCAAACGCAATTGAACCGATTTTGGTGTATAACGAAAGGCCCAGAGATCCTTAAGGATGTTTATGGGTGACACATTGTAGTCGATCATGTGCTGCAGGTTCTTCTCGAACATCTCGTAGGGCATCTCCAGGATAAAAAGTCTTTTCGAAAGATATTTGGTCACGATTTCAGGACTGACTTGCAACTTTTCGCTGATGTAGTAAACGCGATTTTTGTGCGGCATTGTGTTTCTCTCTGAGTTTAGAATGCCAACCAGCTTACGGAGGCGTGGCACAGTGAGGCGCAGGAAGGGCACAAAATGGTTGATGTCCTGAATGTCCATCGACTTAATTAACTGCAGCTTTAGTTCCAGGCGTTCTTCATTAAAAAATAATGATTAGCAAAGGAAATATTAGCTGCGATTACGAAAGCAATTGTTTTTATATTCAATGTACTCACTGGTGTCCAAGGACAGTAGCCAAGGATATTCCAAAAAGCTGCGCCTGCTGACCCCCTCCAACTGCAGCGTATCCAAGGTCAAGGCCAACGATCGTCCTCGATACGTGCGATACACCAATTCGTCGCTTAAGATCCGCTGGAGCTCGTCGTCCGTGAAGCGGAAGCGTTCACGCAGAGTATCGAGAAGCACTCGTGCCTTGGTGCCTCTCTCCTGATCCTGGCGATAGGGCACATAGTCGTTGTCCACCTCGATGCCGCCAGTTGTAGCAGTTGTGAGAAGGGATTTCCTGGTATTCGTCGGGGTTTCGTACTGCGAAAACAGCAGTCGTCGACTGCATTTTACTGGAACTGCGTTTCTGGCTGCATTAAGCTTAAGCGCAGTCTCGAAGCTGCGCACCAAGTTTCTTAACATTCCTTGTAGTTTTTTGAGAGCTCAACTAGAAAACAAATACAAATAATTATAAAACCACCGGTGAGAACAGCTGATTTGTTTTGATGCTATCGAATAAGGTATATCGTTGTCCACTATTCGATAAGAACTTGTTGCATCGATAGACTTTTAAGCGATCGAGTTATTGTTGTTATCGGCATTTGAAATTTTATTTTCTGTTATAAAATGATTAACCTTTCTTATTAAACAGTAACGTAAAATTATAATTTCAATTTAAAATAGATGCTTATAAGATCGGTATAAACAAATATTTTATAAAAAGTAAATTATATTTGTTGCATATTGAATTCTAATCAAAACCTAGCTAAAAATTATTTGAAATCCTTCGAGATTAAAAAACACTAACATTCCAGCTTCTGTTTTTAAAACACAACAATAATCACCCTTTTTTCTTTAATTAACTTCTCTAAACTTTATTTCCAAAAATACTACGTTCCAAAGCTAATCGGAACACTAACGGTACACATAGACTTTTAGAATTTTAGACAAATCATGAACATAAACATTCGTATCACAAGCACTGGGATAACATCCTTCTACTCCACATTGACGTCCTTGGTGACGCGCCCCACCCAGTAGACGAATCCGGTCTGGACGACGGTGGCCATGAACTTAACATTGCCCTTGTATCCTGCTGGCGGGATCCACTCGAACTGAAGGCTGGTCAACGGGCTGCCCTTGTTGGCGTTCAGATGGGTGAGGGTGTTGGCTTTTCCGGAGCAGTCCAAAGTTTGCGAGTTCTTGGCATCCAGCACGTTGAATTGGCCGACAACGCGGTTCTGGCCATCGCGTGCCTGGATGATGAAGCCCAGGAACTCGTCACCGCCCAGGGAAAGAGTCAACTTCTGGTCCGAGCGAACGTGGGACAATCCGGACAGGCTGTAGGGAGACTTGGTCGACTGCGGCTTGGCGCCATGCTGGGGCGTCAGATCTCCGCAAGCGGTCGCTGGAGCACCATCGCGGTAGGCATTCACACTGATGGCCAGGCAGGCCGCAATCACCAACAAGCGGAACATAGCTGCTAAAAAATATAAAAATATATATAATGTAAAATATACTAAAAGAATTAAAAAAAGATTCCATTTTTATAAATAAAAAAAACATTTTCTGGTCCGTACAGATTCTAAAAAAAGTGCTGGGATAAAAAGGTTACTAGAACCAGAAAAAAAAACATATCATAACAATTAAAATTTTATTATCACCATAAAATTGTTTAAGGTTTGAATAAATTTCATATGCATTAGTACGCTCTATAGTCTGGAAAACTACTACTAAGTTACCTTAGAAAATATATTGCTTATATTATATAATTTATAAACAAAACTGTTGCAACGTAAAAAATGCTGCTGATTGGAAAAAAAACTTATCTCTAAACTATAAGGTCTAAAGCCGTAACCTTTCTTTTTAAAAAATTATGCTAATTAAAAACTAAGTACGATTGAAAACAATTGTTTGTCGATCATTTATTTTTGCCGGTTATTGTTTAAAAGTTTTCCGCTAAGTTTAATTTATTTCTCTTTGCATGTTACTTAATTGCATTAACTTGTTTTTCATAAATTAATTAATTAACATTTCCACTCAAGTGAGACTTTTTTCGTTGGCCTTCGTCAGACTGACTTCGTTAGTTTTTTTTTCCATTTGATAAGTTTACAAATGTATACGTAGGATTTTACAAGTATATTGAAAACTAGCCCCCAATTATGCAGTTTGTCAACGCCAACTTTTATTATGCAGTTTGTTCAGTTTCAGTTTGTCATACATACATTTATTCAGCCTTGACTTTTGATTGCCTGAGGTTCTACAAGATTTAAGATCAGGTTGTAATTTTTTTCTAAAAACCAGCTGCGTAGGAAACTCCTAACAGATCAAACAACAAGTTGTTATCACAAAACATTTAGAGCGCCTAAATAAACCGAAATGAACTTTACATTTCAATCACGCTCGGCTCATAAATCTTTCGATTCGCAGAAATAAGAAGACACAAACAAAATGCTGATTTTGTTCAATATTAAAATTGGCCAAGATGCATGTTGATTAAATCGGTTTTATGAAAATCATGAAACTGGTTTCTCGGACGTATCCGAAAACTTAACAAAAGTCCAAACCAGTTAGCAGTACATTTCCATAGAAGAGTAATTTATAATTGCCACCTTTTTATATACCAACATTATCGTTCGGTTACGATCGAACAGAATTGAATGTGACAATTTAAAAAGAAACGTGCACAATGTAGAGAGCTAAGTACTTCCTCAAATCAACTTCAGGTTCAAGGTGGATTGGGGTTTTGTGAGGTACAGATCTCATTGATCACCGGCCTCCTCCAGTTTTTCTGTCGCCTACACTTTGGGCTCAAAAAGACCTTGTGTGCGAAGCCTCGATTTGTCTTGCAATATGCTAAAGTTCAGCATTGGACAAGTCGGTGTGTCTGCGCCAAGTCTCGCTTCTTTATTTTCTTACTTGTGACTTTTATCTGTGTATTTATGGGCCTTTGTCCAACCGGTTGCCAGATTTGTTTAGATAAAATCTCAATACATGGTTGTTTAATTTTTTTTTTTCGGTTTTTCGTGCGTGTCATTACGCTGATCCATGGATAGAGGCCTCAATTAGCCTGCTTTTATAATGGTTTATTATTATTACTTTTAGCAAGTTGATGGGATAGAATTGTTGAAGCTTGAAAATCACATGCAATTAAAAACTATTCTTTTCAGTCGCTGATTGCGAATATTGTAATGAGAAGAATTAGTTTATTTGATGTAAAGAAGGTTTTCCGTTAAGAAATGTTTGCACTTTAAAATCATTTTTATTGGATTTTTTCTAAGGAAAAATAGGTTTCGCAAAATGACCTTTTAAGACGTTTATTTCCACAGCACAACCAGAGGATCTTTAAGAAAAATAATTACCAAACCACTCTTGGTTTTACCTACCACTCAAAAACAGACACGAACGTCACAGAAGAAAAACTTGAAATGAGCTGAAAATTCTAAAACAGCTTCATATTTATACCAAAAACAGATTCAAAATTACAAAACAGCTTAAAGCCTAGTTGGTAAGCTGAAGCCAAGCTTAAACCACAGAGAGTTGGCCAATAGAAAAGCTTGCAAAGCTCAGATTGTAAACTGAATTTATACGCTACATGTATAGTGCGGCATAAACAGTGACTAAGTGTTTACTTCGAACTAGAAATCAAATATCAGAGCAATTAGCAATTTTTATTGATTTAAGGGAGAAACTTTTTAGAATTCGCTAATAAAAGTCACAGATGTTGAATGGAAATCGTTGCTAATACTTTCTGATTAATTAGCAGTAGCGGTTCCTTTTAATTTTTGAGTTGTATGTTCCCCTTTTTGATGTATGCTTCATAACTTTGTGATTTTAAAAGAACATTTAATTTAAGTCCACAGCATAATATAGTTTGGCATAACAAGAATTAACCTATCTAAACAATTCGATACAAAATATGGGCGACCTCCTCTTTAAAAAATCTCAGCGATTCGTACATCCGAGTAATACTATAATGCAACAGCAGAGGATCCTACTTTTTCTGTACTGAAATTTGGTAACCTAATCTAAGAAGGCTAAATCAAAAAGTCTTTTTAGTTGATTTCTGTAATTTGATTTGGAAATATGGGCGCTGAGCAATCGGCATCGTTGGCTTGCACCCAGACGGGAAAGCAGGAGGAACCACTGAAACTAATCAACTCGGAGCTCTTCTTCCGCTTGTACTTCGATAAGATGCCTCTGCCTGTCACAGGTCCAGTGACTGAAAGTCTTTACCAATTAGTGGAATCCCTGAACCAGACGACGGTCGCTAATGGTAAGTAACCTGATGCTTGCTTCTTTGATTCAATCACCATTTTAAAATAGATGAAACCCAATCGAATCAGGAAGAAGATAACAACAGTATGGAGAGCGAGGACAGCGAAAGCGGCTTCTATTCGGAGTACAGCGATGAGAGTTGTGTTTCTTGCTCCATATCTTCGACTTCAAGCTATTCGGATGTTGAGATAGAGTCTCTGCAGACGGCCGAATTCGATTCCATAGATGAATATGATATGCCCAATCCCGAATCTTTTGAGTCGCATTTGGAAGCCTTGCCCGTTTTCGATTCTCAGGAATAAATGAGCATACAATTAACATATGAATTTATGTACACAACTAATTGCAACTTGTTTTTACTTAAAGTTAACTTTCTTCAATCTAAGCGATTTTATGGGTCTCACAATACTCCTTCTTTCCTCTCGATGCTTTTTCAGTTCCGCCTCACGCTTCTTGGCATGGAACTGGGATTTCTTTGCTTGTTCACCTCGAATGTCATCTGCCGATTGCCAAGGGAGCGACCCACATTGGTAACCTGGCTCTCAAGCTGCGACATGACTTTTACGCGATCCTGAAGACTAGCCTTCTTGATCCGCTGCTGCATCAGACTGCTGCCCTGATGCTGATCCAAAGCGGTCATGGTGAAGTGGTTTCCATTGGCAGTGGGTTTTTGGGTATTTCCATTTGTAAGCGATGTTGCAAATCCGTTAGTTTCATCCTGCTGCTGCTCGTCATTGTCTTCTTCAAGTTCCTCTTCCTCTTCACGCTGTCGTTTCACCTGCTTGTACGCTTGCTTCATTTCCTTAACGTACTCCCTACGATCGTCATCGTCGGAAGAGGCTTCATCACCGCTATCATCCTTCGCCTCGCCATCGCTCTTTTCGAAACCGAACAGATCTTCGTCGTTGTCGCTCTCCTCACGCTGCTGGGACTCCTCGGCGTGCAGCTCGGCCACATGAGCCACTTCCACGCGCTTCTTGAGTTCCTTTGCCTTGGATTTATCCAGACGATTTAGAACAGGAGCCAATAGACGATACTCCTCGGCGGACTTGTTGACTTCAAAGTCGGCGTTCTCAAACATTGCCTTGAAACGCGAGTCCTCAAGCAAATTGGGCACGTTGCGTTGCTTGCTACTGTTCGAGGGATTGGCCTGCTCGTCCATAATCTTGAGAGCCAACTCTTTGTTGACCTTCGGCAGCTTGGACTCGATTTGCAGACGCGACTTGCGCTCGCTCTCAATTTCTTGGCGGATCTTGTCCTTGCGGAAGCGATCAAAGGCAAATGGTTCCACAACAGCCTTGGCTTTGTTGTACAGTCTGGCGTCCATAAAGTATCTAAAAAAGATTTAAAGGGATTAGATGGTATTTTAATTGAATATTATATTCATTAGTCTTACCCATGCATATAACCCTTAAGCAGATTGCTGCCAACGAGATGCTCCATGCCCAATTCCGCCAGCTCCTTGGATGTGACGAACTGGTAGTCATCGTAGACATTCTCCACCACCTCCGATTCGATCTCCTCGGTGAGGTTGTCCAGGAAGGAACACCAGCGAGGAGCTGGTCCCATGGCAGGCACATAGTAAGTCAGCATCTTTACATCCTCCTGGGCCACGAAGAACATCCCCGTGTCGGGGATGGTGCAAAAGTCGTTGAACGATGATGTGGACTCGACGTAGGCGATCTGCTTGCCAGTCTGCTCGTCCCACAATTTCAGCGTTGCTTCGTCCAAGCTGTAGACGGCATTCTGGGCAGGGTTGAAGGCCAAACGTTTAATAGGCAGTTTGTTTAGGTGGTTCTTCACCAGCAGCGGCTGCTTGGCGCGAATATCGTAGATCAACACGTGTCCCGAAGCAGTTCCCACACCCATATGCAAGCCGTTCCTGAATTTAAGAGCCGTGACCGAGGGGAACTCCTTGACGCCGGGCAACTTCATGGCCACATCAAGGGAGGCACACCGCTGCTTGGTACGCGGATCCCAGGCCTCCACGGTTCCCTCTTTGGTGCCCGCCACCAGGAGATGGTGCTCGGGATTTATTTCGCAGGCATTCAGACAGCTGCCGTCCGTTTCAAAGGGTTGCAGGAATTGTCCACGTTCCAAATTCAGCCGGTAAATGTCCTGCAAATTATCTGTTTAGTTTGAAAAATATCTAGAATGATGAATATTACTTACCCTTCCCACGCCCACGATGAACATATCGCAACTAGGTTTATGATACTTCATATCCCGCCCGAAGCGCGGTATTCTTAACCTGTAGTGTCTCCCGTGGGCAGCATGGATCTCCACGTAGCGGTCACACTGCAGAAACACCATCTTGCTATAATCATCACTGATCACCTCGAAGGTGGTCACTTCAGAATCAAAGCAGCGCTCGAATTTGATCGAGAGATTTGAGACCTCAAAGCACTTGACACGCGGTTTGTAGGTGCCCGTAGCCAGGATGTACTGCTGGTCGGGACTCATGCGGATACTGGTGCACACGCCGGGCATATCAAAGTCTTGAATAAGTTCTATTTGTCGCCGGGAGTCCACCTTTTTCATCAGCTTCGACCGCTTTCGGCGATCTGTGAGCCACTGCAAAGAAAGAATCCTTGATTTATTTGCTCTTAGGGTAATTATTTTGGTACTTACATCTGGCACTGATTTACCAGCGCTCAGGTTGTAGATCTTCACATCGTTAACCTCGTTGACGAACATTTTGGGAGATGTTTCTAACGTGCTAAAACATAAACAAAACTTGCATCTCCTGAAATCGATTGCACGATAACGTAACACGTGCGCCTTTAGGTACGGCCTGCCGACAATAGTATAAGTATATCGATTGCGTGCCTCTTGGCGATTAATAAGTATGACCAACTGGAACAAGCCAAAATTTGTCCGCGGTCACACTGTACCAAAGCAAAACAAGAGAACGCAAAAGCAGAAAAAATCTCTACTGATTTGCATCCGATTGCCAATTTAAAGTAATTGCATTATTAGCTCTTCGGTGGTGCCCCGCTCCCCTCGCGAAGCCAGTGTGATTGCACGGGACTGAGCTGCATTTTTGTCGCTAAATTGCCAGAAATTTGCAATTGAATTCCGCCCAGCAAAACAACAATAAGCACGCACACATACACACACACACACACCGCCCCCCGCGCTTCGTAACCACCCTACATTCCTTTCGCTCCCTAAAGGTGAACTAAAACGAACTAAAAACGGTGAGTAATATTTGCTGGTTTTCTTTAAGCCAATTAAAGACTGATTAAATTATACAAAATGGAAAACCATCTGCAAAACGGGTGACGCAGTGTAGCAGTGTGGGTGTTTAGAAACTTTCCCCTTTTGTTAACAACGAGTACTCACTCTCTGGTGTTTTTGTTGTTAGGCAGCCCTCACTCTATTGTTGTCGTATACACCCCCTAAATGCCTGGATACCCTTCTTAAGTATCCTATAAATTTGTTCCCCTGTAGAGAAGTAAAGTAACAATTTTGATAAACAGGATGCTCTTGAGATCTTTTGAGATTTGAGATATCTGGTAAAGGAGTCTGAAAGTATGCTCCGATATGTTTCACATTGGGAAAAAAAGCCGACCGGTTAGCTATCTCGCAAATAATGGTATTAGGGTCGACGGAATGCCCCTCGAAGATTAGTCATTTAATTCTTATAATTCGTTATCAATTTATATATTTGCATTTGAATGTCTTTCCTCTTGAGTTATTCATTGAGTTAAGTTTACATTTATAAATTTTGAGCTCAATATAGTTTGGACTGGATTTATTTTATCCTAAAAAATGTTTCTTTTAATGTTCAACTTTAAAAATTTTTTGGAAATCTGAAGCTCATCAAATATGTAGTTAAACAATTTTGGTAAACATTGCAAAGGGTATAAAAATGTCTGTTGTCAAAGCTTCAAACATTCCTTTCCAGTTTTTTCGCCTTATTATGGGTGCGCCTTTGTGTTTCTGTTATGAAGAGGGTGTGAGCAGATGATCCACTTCCATTCAACGCAATTTGCAAATAAGTATGTGCAAGCTCTAGGATTTCGCCTTCATTGATTGCTCCACTGATGTGTGGCCTTTGGTGCTTGACTGATAAGACTCGAGACCGAGACCCACTGGTTAATCTTAATTGCCCGCCAGAGAGTCTATAAAATTGATAATTACTTGACAGTTTGACAAGCAATGATTAGTGGCACTTTTTTTTAATGAGATATGGAGGGAGTTATTTCTTTGACATGACTATTAACTCCTTATAATTTAGAGTTTTTCAAGTTAAGATTTTTTATTTTTCCACACAGCACCTTAATTGGATACAAAAGTCAAGATTGCAAAACATATTGTTGGTTCTCACCTCAAGTTAATTTTAAATCGATTATAATCAGAATAATGAATTAGCAATTCATCGGTGAATAATATTACTGTAACCTGTATCCGCTTAAAACTTTTAAAATTCCAAGATTACAAATCGGCCATGAGTAAATCCCTTTCGACTTGAGTGAAGGGATTGCCTCACTTTCTCAAGATCGGACCATATCAAAGCCTTTCAAACGATACTGATACTCCGAAAAGCCAACTTCAAGTGGTATGGAGGGTTTTTACCAGCCACTCTTGAAACTTCGGTTGGCTCTTTTTTTTTCTGGGCACCAGTTGGCAAATAAACAAACCCGGTCGGCTGTTCAAACACAAGCATGCCTTAAAAAAAAGAAATATCGGGGCCAGTTCGACAAAAGGGGAACAAAATGTGGAGCCGACGCAGAACAAATTAATGCAGCGCCGCAGTTTGTTGATAAGCAGCGCCAACAGTTGGACATTCAAATGCGCACCTGACACAGTGATAGGAAGCCATTGCTTAGGTCGGAGTTTATGCCCCTGGATGTCAAGATGAGCAAAGTGCGGAGTGTTGTCAATAAGCTACACGAACGCATCGACTATCTTATAGAAAAATGTGTGAAAATACGACATTAACCATGCCAAGTTATACTGATTATTCCGACTGTGTTTTAGGTCCCAACATGACTGCAGCGCCATACAATTACAACTACATCTTTAAGTACATCATCATTGGTGACATGGGCGTGGGCAAGTCCTGCCTGCTCCACCAGTTCACTGAAAAGAAATGTGAGTACTATACAAATGGAAATAAGATTTAATGGGAACTAATCTCCTGCTTTTGACTTCTAGTCATGGCAAATTGTCCGCATACGATTGGCGTGGAGTTCGGCACACGCATCATCGAGGTGGACGACAAAAAGATCAAGCTTCAGATCTGGGACACAGCGGGCCAGGAGCGATTCCGGGCTGTCACACGTTCATACTATCGAGGAGCAGCCGGAGCTCTGATGGTTTATGATATTACCAGACGGTAAGCCAATTGGATTGGACTCTTGTTGAGTATCTAAAGCTAAACAACTCTTCATTTTAGCTCGACGTACAATCATCTGAGCAGCTGGCTCACCGACACTCGCAATCTCACAAACCCCAGCACTGTGATCTTTCTCATTGGCAATAAATCTGATCTGGAGAGTACTCGCGAGGTGACCTACGAGGAGGCCAAGGAGTTTGCCGATGAGAACGGCCTCATGTTTCTCGAAGCGAGTGCCATGACGTAAGTGAAGTGCTTGGTTTTCTGCATAAGAACCTATAACTACTGCCAGATACTAATTACGATTACAACCCAAAAACAGTGGCCAGAATGTGGAGGAGGCCTTTCTCGAAACCGCTCGCAAGATCTACCAGAACATCCAGGAGGGACGTCTCGACCTGAACGCCTCCGAATCCGGAGTTCAGCACCGACCGTCGCAGCCTTCGCGAACTTCGCTGAGCAGCGAGGCCGCGGGCGCCAAGGATCAGTGCTCGTGCTAAATGGATACAACCTAACATTACACATCTTTAGATATACAAATCAATTTTTATTTTTAGCCGACTCGTAATCTACCGAAGCCCAAGCAGAAACCAATGTATGTAGTTAAATGATTCGATTAAGCATTAATGTGTGAGCCAACAACAGCGACAGCAACCACAAAAAAAACAAAACAAAATATAAAAGCCCTCCCCGATTATAAGACGCAACCAATTCAACGTTTGTAATATCGATTAAGCATAATAACTAGAAAATTAAACACGTTTGTTGGTTAGCGCGAATATTTCTCACGCATCGTTAGGTGAACCAAAGTTTTGACTATGAAATTTCGAAAAGTTTATCGCTCTTTACTAAACACCAACACTCGTTTTGGCCCTAAAATATAGCAAAATGCTTGAGGGATAGACCATAATTTCTGTTAGCTGTATCTCTGTATATATATGAATTTTGTATCTCCTTTTATCAAACATTTTTTGTTGAGTATTTGTTGTAGTCGCGTGCAAAGACGGGAGAAAACGATCAATGTTATATGAATATTAACGATGTATTAATGGCATAATGCAATAGGAAATAAATAAAACGGTATTTATAAAGCCCCTACCAAAAGAAGCGTGTTTTATATTTAAATTTAAATATTTAGTGATATTTCTGTGAGACGAAATCTGAATGGATTTATAGGTATACCAAACGGTAACACATTTGTTTTAAGGCGCTAAAGATTTGCTAGTTCAAACCCTGACGTAGTTGTTGGGTGAAGGAAAACATCGATTATTCCACAGTTCGGAAAATATCGATGATACCGAACCATCGTATTAGTGCTGCGAAAAGTTGACCAGAAAAAATTACATTTCTAATTGGATTAAAATTGTTCAGGATCTTTGAAATTAATATGATTATGATTTCCTATTAAAGTTCTATATTGTCCCCAATTGTTCCAATGACATCTATATAATATAGTAATCCAACTTTCGGGAAAGTTAATTCGAAGTTCGAGATTACTAGTAAAAAATCATTTAACTAAACACCATCATGTAAAAATTAAAAAAAAACAAAGGTGCAATATTTTTTTCTTTAACTTTATGATCTCTCCTATGGGAGCTATTCAATATAGTCGTCCGATCCGGCCTGCTTCGACTTATATACTGTTTGTAATAACTACACAGCTATTGGTAAAGTCTTATTAAGATAGCTTAAAAAGTGAGAGACTAGTTTACATAGAAATAGATAGACGGGCAGATTGGTTCAGATGGGTATGCTGTTTAAGAATTTATTTACTTTATGGGGTCTGAAATGTCTCCTTCACTGCGTTGCAATTTTTTGATTGAAGTTATACATAATAATATAAAGTATTAAAATCCAGAACTACCGCTCTTCTCTGTTGGCTCTAAAAACGGCAAACTTTAACGGGAAAAAAGCTAAGGTGGCGGGCCTGTGTTGTATGCAAATTGAAATTAATTTATTCGGCTATCATGCTGACGAAATAGCCATTTAATTGGCCAGCGGAAGAGGCAACGTATTCGAATCTCGACTCATGATGCAAATCAAGCGCCTCCTGTGCAAGTCCTGTGGATTGGGCACTCTGCTAGTGGCGGCCGTTTGGCTGCTGGCACTCCTTTTCTACTCGCACAGTTTGCGGAGCTCCATTCGCTCGGCGGGATGGAGGATCAACGAAGGGAACGCCACTCCACGGGCTGAGTTGAGCTTTCAGGCAAGGGTAACCGTCGGATGCACACCGAACGCCTCAAAGAATTCGACGGCAAACAGGGAATCCCCGGGAGAACCGAATCAACCGAATGATCCCGAGCAACTGGAACTTCTGGGCGTGGTGCGCAACAAACAGGACAAGTATATCCGGGACATAGGCTACAAGCACCACGCCTTCAATGCCCTAGTGTCGAATAACATAGGACTCTACCGGCAGATTCCTGACACCCGGCACAAAGTTTGCGATCGTCAGGAGACCTCGCAATCGGAGAACCTGCCCCAAGCCTCGATAGTCATGTGTTTCTACAACGAGCACAAGATGACCCTGATGCGGTCTATCAAAACTGTGTTGGAGCGCACGCCCAGTTACCTTCTGCGAGAGATTGTCCTGGTGGACGATCACAGTGATTTACCTGAACTGGAGTTCCATTTGCACGGGGACCTGCGTGCCCGCCTCAAGTACGACAATTTGCGATACATCAAAAACGAACAGCGCGAGGGACTTATACGTTCGAGAGTGATTGGAGCCCGAGAGGCTGTCGGCGATGTCCTTGTCTTTTTGGACTCGCACATCGAGGTTAATCAGCAGTGGCTAGAGCCTCTACTTCGTCTCATCCAGGCGGAAAACTCCACGCTAGCAGTGCCCGTCATCGATTTGATCAACGCCGACACCTTTGAGTACACGCCGAGTCCTCTGGTGCGTGGAGGCTTCAACTGGGGCCTGCACTTCAGGTGGGAAAATCTTCCCGAAGGAACGCTCAAAGTGGCGGAGGACTTTCGTGGACCCTTCCGCTCGCCCACAATGGCTGGCGGTCTGTTTGCGGTGAACAGGAAGTACTTCCAGCACCTGGGCGAGTACGACATGGCCATGGATATTTGGGGAGGCGAGAATATAGAGATATCCTTCAGAGCCTGGCAGTGTGGAGGCGCCATCAAGATTGTCCCGTGTTCCCGCGTGGGACACATATTTCGAAAGCGTCGTCCGTACACCTCGCCAGATGGAGCCAACACCATGCTGAAGAACTCGCTGCGATTGGCTCACGTTTGGATGGATCAGTACAAGGACTATTACCTCAAGCACGAGAAGGTGCCCAGGACGTTTGACTACGGCGACATTAGCGACCGTCTGAAGCTAAGGGAACGGCTGCAGTGCCGGGATTTCGCCTGGTACCTAAAAAACGTTTATCCGGAGTTGCATGTACCTGGCGAGGAGTCCAAAAAGTCAGTGGCAGCGCCCATGTTTCAGCCTTGGCACTCGCGAAAGAGGAACTACGTGGACACCTTCCAACTGCGCCTGGTGGATACGGAACTCTGCGCCGCCGTGGTGGCTCCCAAGGTGAAGGGTTTCTGGAAGAAGGGCAGCTCCCTGCAACTGCAACCCTGCCAAAGGACACCCAACCAGTTGTGGTACGAGACAGAGAAAGCGGAGATTGTGCTGGACAAGTTGCTTTGTTTGGAGGCCTCCGGTGATGCCCTGGTCACAGTGAACAAGTGCCACGAGATGCTGGGTGACCAACAGTGGCGGCACGCTCGCAAATTCAACAGTCCCGTGTACAACATGGCCAAGGGCACTTGTCTACGGGCTGCTGCTCCTGCGGAGGGAGCCCGTCTCAGCTTGGACTTGTGTTCCAAGGCGAACGGAGCTGGTGGAGCGTGGGACATTGTGCAGCTTAAGAAGACGACGAAGGACGAGGAGGAGGACAAGGTCAAGGATGCGAAGAAGGCGGACAAAGCGCTGTGAGCGGGTTGCCCTGCTGGCGTACTGCAATATTAGACTGATAACTGTTTAGGGCGAAAGTGTATTATGTTTAAATAGCCAGTATTTTTTCACAACATTTTTTTAATAAATATAGAAAACAAAATTTTATTTGTATAAAAACTGCAAATTTAAAGGTCACATTCCGGTTTGGATTTTAATGAAAATCTGTTTTGCAAGTTGACCAAAGACAGCTGGCAAAGAAACAGGTTTTGATTGTCGATTATGAATAATGAACCATTACTAAAATTATACGTACTTTCCATTTTTTTAACATTAGTTAATTTTTCTAGCGTCTCCATCCGGTTATGAAAATTTGAAATTTATATAGTTAAAGAAAACTGTATAATTTATAGATGTATTTAAGAATCTTGAAAAAACCATTCTTCGTACTTTTTTCTAAGTGCACGATGTTAATTTGCTATCGATAGTCTCGAATAGATATCATCTCTATCAGGAACGGTCACACTTTTTTGAACGCGGAAAACAGGCGCCAATTTGTGCGATTCTAATAAACAATTTTTAAAAGTAAAAAATGCAGGCCAAAGCGACCGACAGCCGACAGGAGCCGACGCTCCATATGGGTAAGTTTATAACAACTAATAATTAATCCAAATATATCTTATTTATTTGGCTTTTTCAGACACAAATGCGCGTCGCAATTTTATAAAATTACATGCGAAACTTGGCGAGGTAATTACATCTCTCATAAATCCGGTTAAACTGCATTCTACGGCTTTCATTTGTAGAAACCCTCGACAACAGTACGATTCTTTGACCACTCCGATTGCTATACGGTCCATGGCAGCGATGACTGCGAGTTGGTGGCCAAAATCGTTTACAAATCCACGGCGTACATTGGAACCCTGCTCCCGGATGACAAAAAGGACACCTTGCAATTCGTGTCCATGACCAAGGGAAACTTTGAACTGGCTGTGCGAGATTTACTTCTTGTGAGGAATCTCCGGGTAGAAGTGTATGTCAAAAAATCCACCGACTGGGAACTGGAGTACCGCGGATCTCCAGGAAACCTGTTGCAATTCGAGGACATCTTGTTTGCCAACAAGGAAGTTCTGGTGGGCAACAGCATCATCTCACTCTTGGTAAAACTCGAAGGCGGTGGACAGCGGCGTGTGGGTGTGGCCAGCGTGGAGCAAAACGATTGCAAGTTTCAGTTGCTTGAGTTCCTCGACGACGACTTCTTCACCGAATTGGAGGCAACTGTAGTGCTTCTTGGTCCAAAGGAGTGTCTGCTGCCCAGTTTGGATGGTGACTATGCAGCCGTGAAAACGCTGCTTGAACGAAATGGCGTCATGATCACTGTGCCCAAAAAGAGCAGCGCCAACGATTTGCTGCAGGATCTGAATCGATTGCTGCGCTTCGCCAAGGGACAGCAGGAGGATGCCACGGGCTTGAAGGAGCTACAGCAACAACTTGCCTCCAATGCCCTGAAAACGGCCATCAAGTACTTGGATCTGGTCAACGATGCTGGCAATTTGGGGCACTATGAAATCAAGCAACTGGACCTGAATCGGTGAGTGCAAATTTATTGCTTTATACCATATTACTTATAAATACATTACAGCTTTGTACATTTGGATTCTGCGGCTGTGGCAGCTTTGAACATTTTGCCCAAACCGGGTACTCATCCTTCCATGCCCTCGTATCGCTGGCAAAGTATAATGGGCGTTCTCGATCATTGTCGAACGCCACAGGGACACCGACTTATGGGTCAGTGGGTTAAGCAGCCTCTTCGGAGCCGAGATATCCTCAATGATCGTCACAACATCGTCGAGTGCCTACTTGAATCGCCGGATACAATGGAAACCCTCAGCTTGGATTATCTAAAGCGCATACCAGATATCCTGATGCTAACCAAGAAGCTTATGCGGCGAAAGGCGAATTTGCAGGATCTGTTCCGCATCTATCAGGTGATACTGCGAACGCCAAAGATTCTTAAGCTTCTTTACGAGCTGGAGAACTCAACCATTGAGAGTGTGATCTGTGCGCCATTTAAAAGCTTCTTAGAGGACCTGACTGGTTTGAAGCAAATGGTTGAGCAGGTAGTTGACTTCGAGGCCATCGAAAGAGGCGAGTATCTGGTAAAGGCTTCCTTCGACAGTCGACTGATGGAACTGCAACAGACCATGACAGAACTCTATTCCAAAATGGAAAGGCTGCAGGCCAAGTGCAGTGAGGAGTTGGACTTGAATCAGGTTAAGCTGGAAAATGTGGCCAAGCTGGGACATCATTTCCGCATAACCGTAAAGGATGATTCCGTGCTGCGAAAGAACAAGAACTATCGCATTGTGGATGTGATCAAGGGCGGCGTTCGTTTCACATCTGATAAGTTGGAGGGCTATGCAGAGGAATTCACCAGCTGCCGCACTCGCTACGAAGAGCAACAGCTGTCCATTGTGGAGGAGATCATTCAGGTGGCTGTTGGTTATGCTGCACCACTTACTTCACTCAACAATGAACTCGCTCAACTCGACTGTTTGGTGAGCTTTGCCATTGCGGCTCGCAGTGCTCCCACCCCTTATGTGCGACCCAAAATGCTGGAGGAGGGTGCTCGGGAATTGGTACTGAAGGATGTGCGTCATCCGTGTTTGGAGCTGCAGGAACATGTCAGTTTTATAGCCAACAGTGTGGACTTTAAAAAAGGTAAGCTGAGTAAGGTCAAGTGTTATACATATTATATTAATATTTTTATTCAGAGAAATGCAACATGTTCATCATCACGGGACCAAACATGGGTGGAAAGAGCACTTACATACGTTCTGTGGGCACCGCTGTGCTAATGGCCCATGTCGGTGCTTTTGTGCCCTGCAGCTTGGCCACAATCAGCATGGTGGACTCCATTCTCGGACGAGTGGGTGCCAGCGACAACATAATCAAGGGATTGAGCACATTCATGGTGGAGATGATTGAAACATCTGGGATAATTAGGGTGAGTTATACATTTATTAATCATCATTACAAATACACTATTTAAATTTTCAATTTTCAGACTGCCACTGAAAAATCCTTGGTGATCATTGATGAATTGGGTCGCGGCACTTCCACCTACGAGGGTTGTGGCATCGCCTGGTCCATTGCCGAGCATCTGGCCAAGGAAACCAAGTGCTTTACCTTGTTCGCCACTCATTTCCACGAGATAACCAAGCTGGCAGAGACTCTGCCCACGGTGAAAAACTGTCATATGGCGGCAGTGGCGGATGCGGATAACTTTACGCTCTTGTACCAAGTGAAACCTGGGGTGATGGAGAAGAGTTTTGGCATTCAAGTGGCGCGATTAGCCAATTTCCCCGAGCATGTTGTCCAGAACGCGCAGGAGGTGTATAATGAGTTCGAGGATGAGCATGTGGACAAGCAGAAAAGGGAGGACAAGGCACTTCTGGAGAAGATTCAAGTGGCCATTCAACAGCTGTCGACAGCAGGGAATAATGTGGATATTAACGTGGAGGACTTGACCCAGTTGGTCACGAAGTTTACTAAGGATATCGAGCAGCTGGACAGCGATTACTTCAAGGCCGTGCTGGCCACCAGTGAGGCTTAGTTGGAACAGCGGATGAACAATTTTCTATCAGGCAGTATTACTTTTTGAGGCAACATTCAGCTAAGAATTCATACACAAGAATCTTCCCATCTTTGAGTTTAATCAGTTTCTTTGTATAATTCCATACTCTTCATTTCATTTTATTTCTTTTTCATTTTCTTAAATTTTTTTTTTTAACAAAATAATATTCTTAACATACCTATAGTTAAAAAATCTTTCAATCATTTTTCAGTGGTTGTAAACCACAGGGAGTACATCAGCCTACCACATCGAAGTTATATGTTAGTTAAGTTTTTTTTCTATGGGATTAAACGTAAACATATTTAAAAAAAAAAAAAAGCAAAAAACTCAAGGAGTTTTTTTTTAATTTTGAATATACAGAATGCTTACCGTGACATTAAAACTAAAAAAAACATTATGAATTCATACATATTTGTATGTAAAAAAATTAAGATTACAGCATCAAGACTTAAACGGTTTTTAATTTAAATAAAATATTTTCTCCAAAGATTGGGTTTATCAGAAATTAAACCATACATACTTGTTAATATTGGAGTGCTAAAAAATGTATGTTCTGTACCACGTTGCTTTACTTTCGAATCAGGGTTAACCACCTTTGCTAAGATGAATCAGCCGAGCTAGACGTTAATCTAATTCATGTTCCACAACCGTCACATGATTTGGAAACGCGGTGATTTGTGTGTTACTAATAGCGCTATTTCTTCGGCTCCATGCCAAGTCACATTGAACACGCTTTTTAACACAGCGCAAACTACAAAATACGAGCCTGACAAACTGTCAATTTAATCGGCCGGGTTTTAACCTCAGCTGTCAGTTGGGCTAAAGCGCCGCGGTGCCGTTGGCCCGATCTTTAGCTCGACTGTCATTACCAAATTCAACTTAAGTGCTGTCAAAAGATAATTACCGTTTCGGCATTGATTTTTCTTACCTTTTTTCACTGAGACAACTAAATGACAACAGCTCTCTAAAAAGGCCTAAACCAGTTTGTGGCTGCCTCATCTGGTGTGATTCGGTAATATGGTTAACATATAACTAAAATTACTGGAACAGCTTCTTTCGGACCAAGAAAAAACATATTAAGAAATTAAATAAATACTTTAACCCACTTATTGCCAAGGGGAAGCTCATATGTTATTTTTAAGTTTTAGTTTTGCGTGTTTAAATCACTTTGTAACAGAAACAAACTTAATTGTATTGTTAATATAAAATTATTGGTATTATATTGATGTGCACTCATTAGGTGTTCCACTAATCAATGATTTTAATCAATAAAAATAACTGTATAAAGAAGCAAAGCAGTTTACAATTTTCTTGTCAATTGTTGCGCGCTTAAAGTGGAAATTTTAGGCACATAATTTTAGCTTATCTGATATATTCCTCTGCCCATGGCTGTGCGCACATTCAATTTGATATCGCATACTCAACAAACATGGCGTGTTAGCAACGCTTAACAGCATCCAAAATTGACAGGCAACTTTAAATATATTGCATTTGCGGCCAGTTCGGCATGCTTGTCTGCCACGATTAGTGGCAAGCAGCCAGCCAACGAGGCAGGCTTCTCCGATCCGGCACCATCTCCAGCTCCATCCTCCTCCAGCTCCATCCTCTCCAGCTCCTTTAAAGCCAACTTCATTTGGGTGAATGGGGCGAAGACGTCCGATGCGACGCGACGCGTACAATTATTAATTTGATACGATATAATTGACATGTTGCCGATGCCAAAAAGGAAGCACTAACATGCAGACAACAACAGCAACAACAACAACAACAACAAGAGCAACAACAGCAACAGGAGCAGCAGGAGCAACAACAAGGTGAAACCTCGTAACGTGGCCAACAAGCTAAGCCGGAGCGACGCATATTAACGCCATGGCTTAGAGACAAGGGCCGATCGGGCTTAGAGATGGCACTTCAATAAAAAAATTAATAGAAATTTAGAACTAACTAAAAATGTTTTAATATGAATTATGTTTTAAAGTTTTTCTACCCAAAATTTATATTTTAAAAGATCGGTTTAATATTGGTTTTGAATCTTATCTTAAAACCTCGCTAGAAAATATGTTAAAAACATTAAATTTTTTCTATTAATTTTAATCGTATATCTATTTTAAATTTGTTTGGTTTTCGGGGAAATATATTATCCATAAAAACCAGTTCGTAAAGAAAGTCAAAAGTTGTCGGGATGCTCATCTCTAACGCTTTATTTTCATGCTCCTGCCTTTTTTCACCGCCGGTCTCTCGGTTTTCTGGCAGGCAGGCGTGTAAATTGTTTTTACTTAATCGTTGCGGACACAAACGCACATGTTGTTTGGCCACAGCCAAAGCAAAAGCAACAACCAGGCTTACTTGCCTCTTTTGCCGATCTCCTTTGATATCTGCTCGGCTCTGTGGCGCGCTTTTGGTAATTGCACTTCGTCTGCTGCTTCTGTGTTACCAGCTTTGCTGGCCACAGTCATGGTCAAGAAAGAAGTGGCTAAAAGTGGAATCTATAAAAATAAACAACTCAGGAATTAAATCTCTTCATAACTAAAAAAATCCCCTGTTGGTATTCAAAATAAAACAATAAAAATAGAGTTTGAATAAATTTAAAAGGCTTACAATCAAAACACTTCTTTGGAAAGTTTTTAAAATATATTTAAGTGTGCCTTTTAATTTAATATCTGTGCCCATAGCTGTTAACCAATAGCCAGTTTGTTTGTGGAAAATTGTTATTTGTTGCTGGTAGCCTGTCTTGTTGTTGGTGGTTGGCCGTTGTTGGTCCGTTGGCCAACTTCAGTTGGTCAGACATGCAAATTTTTTGGTGTGTCTAATGTTAGTTGTTTGTTAGTTTTTTATGCAAATTTTCTTGTTTCACTTGACAAATTGTCTGTTCGACTTAATGATGGAACGTAGGTTGGCGGTAGTTGAGTTCCGATCGGGGGCAAAATGATTATGTGCATAGTTTGGCTTTATGATTAAGCTTGATTATATATGAGCCTCGTTGGTACTGGTTTTTTTGAGAAAGTTTTTCAAACTGTGTAAATAATTGCTGTGAAAGGTTTGGTTATTTCACGTGAAAAATGACTAACATGCTGCGATTGCAAATCAATTGATTTATGAGAAACCAAATATCAATTAAATTAATTTTAAGTCTGAACGGATTTTACTCATAATTGTAAGATGAATAAAATGTATTTTTATTTTAACTACAATTATTTAGTGCTTTATTAAATTCTTTCTTGCCTTAAAAGAGGCAATAAAGGGCTTTATTTAATTTATATTTTTATATGCAGAGGAATGACCTAAAGCTCCCAGTCATATTACCATCCAAAACACCTTTCCGGCTTGTTTCGTTTTGGTATGCCATTTATCCGCTCTCACACCTTGCAAAACAACCTTGGTCCCCTAATTTCCCCTGCAGCTCGGCCAATCAATTATAGTTATAAAAGCCAGTGAAAAGGGAAAATCATTAAAATCTTATCTTTTAGCCAATAAAGTGGCAGATGGATGGATGGATGGATGCCCCCCAAATGGGTGAGACAAAATGCCTGCCTGCATCAACGTCTATTATTAGCGGCCATATCAAAAAATGATTAGCAGAGCCGCCAAAGTCGAACTTAAAGCGATGTTGGTGTTGGCCCGAATGGAGGAGAAACATAACAAATTATGAAGATGAACGGGTATCCCCTGGATCGGCTGGATGGTTGGATGGTTGGCTGGCTGCATTCAAAAGACTGATTATAGACTTTAAGGTGTAACCGGGGAGAGAAAACTACATAACACTAATTTCATTTTAAACGAACAGAAACGCTCGCCGTGCATATAATTTAAATAATTGCATAGGCGCTGTGAATGGCCCGGCTATTGATGATGTTATCATGTTATGTTCGCATACGAGATACACACTTATACTTATACTTAGTTGTCTTACAATCTTATCTACAATTTCCGCTGGCAGCTGCCGTTGGTGGTAGTCGACGCGCCTGGTTCCCCTTAATTATAATGTATCGCTTAATGGGCCGCACTTTGCTGCCGGCAGCCAGCAGTTCTTTCTTTCTCCCCGAAAAAAACATTGTCTTCATTGTACTTCGCCTGATTATTGGTTACTGGAGGAGCGCCATTTTAATCCATTGATAAAACAATTTGCTCCTCTCGTCTGTTTCGTTTCGCGTTCATTGGTTCCACTTCCTAAATTATGGTTACAAAATTTTATGAAGCCATTTATATCACTCACAAGATGTGCCGCCTATAGCATGTAGTAAATCGATGGGTTGCACCAAGAGCTCCACTCTGTTTTGAGCACCTCCCTTTCAGTACTTGTTTTCAATTTGTGCCAGCGAGCAAAATAAAATGAAATCGCAAGCGAGGGTAGGCATTAAGTTATGCAATTACTGTTTACTTGCCCATGCCGAGAAATTAAATAATTATAGCAATCGGGCGGTTAGTTTCCCGGGAAACATTTACAGATCCCATAAAATTAAGTTATTTTTATGGAGCAATACAAAAATACAGGAGGGGATAAATTAAATACCTTTAAAATAAAATACATAGTTATATCTTTCATAAATGTTAAAACTTAATATAAATTTGTATTCAGAATTCAGTAACTACGCCTTAAACTGGAAAAAATAAACGAGAGCATCAAGCTAAATCAAAAAGAAAAACTTTCTATACTTTAACTACTTTAAATTTAATGTTATTTTATTACAAAGTCACGTGCATTATTGAATTAAATAAAACGTAATTGTATATTACTATATAATCTTCTTGGCGTGAACTCATCAAAATATGTTAATTCAATTATTTTGCTATTTGTATCGTCATCTAATTGAGATTATCCTTCTAATCACAAACCCCACGCCATGGATTTTTGTATAAAAAATCTTACCTTGTGAATCAAATATCATGTCCCGGCCTTATAAAGATGTTTTCATGAATAATTTTGTATGCTTTTTCATTATTTTTTGTTTTGCAAAAAACCCGACTCTCCCGTATTATGGCAAGTGATTAGCCTAAAAGAAAAATTACTGAAGAAACCAAAAAAGGCGAACAAAAATGTGGGGGAACGAAAAAGAAACGTGTGCAATTTTTATTTACCAACACTCGAGAGCCGGCTAACACAAATTTAACACTGGGTTGCCGCCAATGTAGCCATCAGGCGGCATGCAATGCTCGACTAACGAGCAAAAACAACAGCAACACCAAAAGCAACAACAGCAACAGCAACAACAACTGCAACATGGAAACTACCAAACTGCCTTCTCGTGGTAATCAATTTTAAAATTTATGACAAAATTTGCAGCTTTAAATTATGCCATTAAGCACGGCATGTAACTCATATCGTCAGGCTGCCTGCCTGTTAGCCCGACTGCCTGGTGGCGGCTTAAAACAAGAAAAAAGCCGAAGGAGAAACATGTTAACTGCTTTCCTTCGCCCCAGTGTGTGTGCGTGTGTGTGTGTGTGTTGAGTGTGTGTATGTTGGCCATGCAATGGCGTTTGCATTATACGCTCGTATTTCGCCACATTCAACAACGAGCTACAGAATGACGGGTGGCCATAACTCATGCCCGATGCCCCATTCCGCTCCAGTCAGACGCCCCCCCTCCCCCAATTTCCCCCTCCTCCCCTTCTTCACCCCTCCCCCTCAATCTGCCCCCCCATTCCTCCCGAGTGGAGTCCACCGTCTGAGACCTGGGCAGCAGTTGTTGCAATTACAACTGGACACCACATGCTACAGCTGCCTCCTGTGCCAATGTGTGTGTGTGTTAAATATTGCAATTTATCACGCAAATGCGTTTTTCAATTTTAACATGCCGCCAGGCATCATAAAAACGCTACAAACCCACAATATGAGCCAAGAGCCACGAGCAGTAGAAAAGCGGCATGGGGGTAAGTTGAGCCCACGGATGCGGTATCATATGCTGCACGGAAAGAAAAATTAATACGATAAGATCACCTGATTAATTTCTATGTCAATTTGTATCTAGATCATGCAGACTTATTAATTAAAAAAAAGGGGGAAAAACAATAATAAATTCTAGGTCAACGAAACTATCTTTTCGCTGGTATGAAACCAATGACGCCTATGTTTAGATAGCAGCACTTATTTTAATTAAGAAATTAATTTTTAGGATTAGAGCCTTGAGTTTTGGAACCTCCTCTATGATAAGAAATCAAAAACTAAAGCTTTGTAATTTACTAAAAACTAATCAAAGTAAAAATTTGCTTTCTAAAATTTGTAGAGCTTTGTTCATTTAATCAACTATTTTTTCCTGTGTGCAAAAGGAAAGCTGTTGAGTATAGGAAATAAAGTGGCTAACACCCAAGCAAGCAACACCACATATGAAGTCAGATCCCAGAAGGTTGATGCTGAGGACACCTCATCGATTGAAATGGACGCAACACGAAATATGAGCAAGAAGAATTTGCTCCCATGGCGATGGTAATTGCGAAGGTGATAATCACTAAGAGAGTGGGGACATCTGTGGGATGAACACTAAAATAAATTAGAGACATAAAATACCCGACAATTTTGTAAGAATTCACATGGGTTTCTGTTTTAAAAATGTCTATACAAACAAAGTAAATGCAGCATGGGAAGTATTTTTAAATATTGGTTTGTGTGATTATATAACTGAATTTATTTTTATAAAATACTGATCCTTGAAGTCTTTTATTAAGGCAAGACCTGCATATTTCAAATGGAAACAAAAAAGAGGAACCTTATTGGTCCAAACTAATTCGATGCACTCCAAAAACTGGACAAAGGACAAGGCTCGTTCAGCATTCAGACTCCGAATGCACTCAACTCGATATTACCTTAGCCACAGTCCAATTAGCTGGGCAGCCAGACAGCCTCTGTCATCTCGATGTCAGACCGTTTTGTCCACCCATTTGGCATTTGGGGAACGTTAATAAAATGGTCTAGGACATGCCACCATGGCAACGAGACAGAGCGTTGTCAACGATTGCCAATTGGCAACATTCGTTGGCTCGAAGGGATGTCAGTGGAGTGGAGTTGGATGGGAGTTGGCCAAGAGGGACGGCTGGAAAATTGATATAGAGATAGCCAAGTTACTGCTCGACGACTGGAATCACAGTCGGATCTAGTTTGT